GCAGAAGAGCCAGTCTGTGAGTTTCAGAAGAGAGCTGCCAGTCTGTGAGTTTCAGAAGAGTGCTGCCAGTGTGTGAGTTTCAGAAGAGTGCTGCCAGTGTGTGAGTTTCAGAAGAGTGCTGCCAGTGTGTGAGTTTCAGAAGAGTGCTGCCAGTGTGTGAGTTTCAGAAGAGTGCTGCCAGTGTGTGAGTTTCAGAAGAGTGCTGCCAGTGTGTGAGTTTCAGAAGAGTGCTGCCAGTGTGTGAGTTTCAGAAGAGTGCTGCCAGTCTGTGAGTTTCAGAAGAGTGCTGCCAGTCTGTGGGTTTCAGAAGAGTGCTGCCAAGTGTGTGAGTTTCAGAAGAGTGCTGCCAGTGTGTGAGTTTCAGAAGAGTGCTGCCAGTCTGTGAGTTTCAGAAGAGTGCTGCCAGTCTGTGAGTTTCAGAAGAGTGCTGCCAGTCTGTGAGTTTCAGAAGAGTGCTGCCAGTCCGTGAGTTTCAGAAGAGTGCTGCCAGTGTGTGAGTTTCAGAAGAGTGCTGCCAGTCTGTGAGTTTCAGAAGAGTGCTGCCAGTCCGTGAGTTTCAGAAGAGTGCTGCCAGTGTGTGAGTTTCAGAAGAGTGCTGCCAGTCTGTGTCAGTGTAAGTTTCAGAAGAGTGCTGCAAGTCTGTGAGTTTCTGATGGGTGCTGCCAGTCTGTGAGTTTCAGAAGAGTGCTGCCAGTCTGTGAGTTTCAGAAGAGTGCTGCCAGTCTGTGAGTTTCAGAAGAGTGCTGCCAGTGTGTGAGTTTCTGATGGGTGCTGCCAGTGTGTGAGTTTCAGAAGAGTGCTGCCAGTGTGTGAGTTTCAGAAGAGTGCTGCCAGTCCGTGAGTTTCAGAAGAGTGCTGCCAGTGTGTGAGTTTCTGAAGAGTGCTGCCAGTCTGTGAGTTTCAGAAGAGTGCTGCCAGTGTGTGAGTTTCAGAAGAGTGCTGCCAGTGTGTGAGTTTCAGAAGAGTGCTGCCAGTCTGTGAGTTTCAGAAGAGTGCTGCCAGTGTGTGAGTTTCAGAAGAATGCTGCCAGTGTGTGAGTTTCAGAAGAGTGCTGCCAGTCTGTGAGTTTCAGAAGAGTGCTGCCAGTCTGTGAGTTTCAGAAGAGTGCTGCCAGTCTGTGAGTTTCAGAAGAGTGCTGCCAGTCTGTGAGTTTCAGAAGAGTGCTGCCAGTCCGTGAGTTTCAGAAGAGTGCTGCCAGTGTGTGAGTTTCAGAAGAGTGCTGCCAGTCTGTGTCAGTGTGAGTTTCAGAAGAGTGCTGCAAGTCTGTGAGTTTCTGATGGGTGCTGCCAGTCAGCAGAAGAGTGCTGCCAGTCTGTGAGTTTCAGAAGAGTGCTGCCAGTCTGTGAGTTTCAGAAGAGTGCTGCCAGTGTGTGAGTTTCTGATGGGTGCTGCCAGTGTGTGAGTTTCAGAAGAGTGCTGCCAGTGTGTGAGTTTCAGAAGAGTGCTGCCAGTCCGTGAGTTTCAGAAGAGTGCTGCCAGTGTGTGAGTTTCTGAAGAGTGCTGCCAGTCTGTGAGTTTCAGAAGAGTGCTGCCAGTCTGTGAGTTTCAGAAGAGTGCTGCCAGTGTGTGAGTTTCAGAAGAGTGCTGCCAGTGTGTGAGTTTCAGAAGAGTGCTGCCAGTGTGTGAGTTTCAGAAGAGTGCTGCCAGTCTGTGAGTTTCAGAAGAGTGCTGCCAGTCCGTGAGTTTCAGAAGAGTGCTGCCAGTCTGTGAGTTTCAGAAGAGTGCTGCCAGTCTGTGAGTTTCTGATGGGTGCTGGACACCTGTACTACAACAGAGGGAGTGGGAATCAGAAACTAGTATGGTTCTGCACACCGGGCAGGAAAACAGAGGATGTGCATGGTGCATGGAGGTGCATGGTGCATGGATGTGCATGGAGAGACTGACAGTTGCTATTACCATAAAATCCCGCCAGAGCGCCCCTTCCTCCTCGACGCTCTGAGTAGGTTCAGGTGGGGAGGGGCGGATGGGCGAGTCCTAACTTGCCGCATTCAGCACTACATGAAAAAGTACTCACCCTACGAAAACTGTTCGTGCATCTCGTACACGGACCAAAGGTCAAGAGCCAGGAGTCGTACAGACCCGTCAAAACTCATGGTTTGTGCGATCGCTGGTCAAGAGTTTGTGCGCTGTTGCGTACATTTCCAACGGGGTCGAGCACACGTCTGGAGTACAGTATGGCATCACAGACTCATAGGAGGATACAATGAATCACTTCCCTGACAAGAAGTCAGGGAGGGGTGGATGGGAGAGACGGGGCGCTCTGGTAGCGGGATTTTACGGTACTACTATCTGGATGCCAGTAGTACAGCAGAGCCAGTGTGAGTCCGGACCAGGGAGCCCCACACATATTAGCATGTGGCAGGGCTCCCGGGTCTGAGCTGCAGGGCACTGATAGGTAGGTGATGTTGCTGCCAAAGCAGTCCACGAGACTATACTTGTTGGCATGTCTGCACTCGGACAGGAGCTCACTTCGCTCGTTGATACCGTAATACGAAGAGGTGCCCACTGTGAACGTCTTAGAATACGGCGATCATCATGAGCAGCAAGCCTTACAATATCAACAAGTGGAGTGAGCTCGTGTACAAGTGCGGATATGTCAACAAGTATAGTCTCGTGGACAACAATTCCCTACCACTAAACACAGAAAGAAATGATTGTAATTTGGTGACATATTTACTTCTTCCTCGTGGGCATCGCAGTTCCACTGGCGAGCCGTTACTGCAGCTTTTCTTTTCCACAGCTCCAGGAAAACTGATGCTGCAGAGAAAGGAAACAAGGCAAGAAACCATGAGAGTAAAGAATTGAGCAGATATTCAACCTCCATATAAAGTTCATACTTTCAAAAACTGAAAAAAAATATTCCCCACATGTTATACTACTTGTTATTGCCGCCGTTCGTTAGTCAACGAGTCAACCAGCGTTGCGGAGCGTTGCGGAGGACATGAGAGAGGCCGGAATGACTTTCACCACAGTGCGGGATCTCGACCTGGCGACTGAGCGGGCAAGGGACAAACCGACATGGAGAGCGATGGTCTACAACTAATGATACTGAACTAGAACAACGGAAAGATTCATCAAGAGACAGCAGCGGACCGAACATTGGTGTTACACAATATTAATGTTCCATTACGCGCAACTGTGTTATTATTATTATTATTATTATTTGTAAGAAAGGGTTTGCTCCCCACACCGGACCTCGCGCTATTCCGCCGACGTTACTTGACACTTGTCTCACCGTCCAGGAGCGACACTGACTCACGCTGCTATCTGGTGTTCACCAGGTGTTTAACGCGCTGGAAACGGAGCGTCTCTGTAAGTTTGTATCCCTGGTGATGTTTGTGCCTGGAGAACACTATATAAGTGGTGCTCTTCAGGCACAATCTTCCTCAGCCAACTGAAGCTCAACTGATGAGGGGTGAATTCCCCGAAACACTGTGTATTGAGCAGGGAGTGGTGCTTTCTTGCAGGTTTGCCGAGTCGAAGGTTCGATGGACTTCTCGTGTGCTCTGGATGGCAGTCGTGAGTCAGTCAAGTGTCAAGTAACGTCGGCGGAATAGCGCGAGCTCCGGTGTGGGGAGCAAACCCTTTCTTACAAATCATCGCCGAAGTCGCAACCACTACTTCGTATTATTATTATTATTATTATTACGAAGTAGTGGTTGCGACTTCGGCGATGACTTGTAAGAAAGGGTTTGCTCCCCACACCGGAGCTCGCGCTATTCCGCCGACGTTACTTGACACTTGACTGACTCACGACTGCCATCCAGAGCACACGAGAAGTCCATCGAACCTTCGACTCGGCAAACCTGCAAGAAAGTACCACTCCCTGCTCAATACACAGTGTTTCGGGGAATTCACCCCTCATCAGTTGAGCTTGAGTAGGCTGAGGAAGATTGTCCCTGAAGAGCACCACTTATATAGTGCTCTCCAGGCACAAACATCACCAGGGATACAAACTTACAGAGACGCTCCGTTTCCAGCGCGACAAACACCTCGTGAACACCAGCAGCAGGGAGCAGTGCTTTCTTGCAGGTTTGCCGAGTCGAAGGTTCGATGGACTTCTCGTGTGCTCTGGATGGCAGTCGTGAGTCAGTCAAGTGTCAAGTAAAGTCGGCGGAATAGCGCGAGCTCCGGTGTGGGGAGCAAACCCTTTCTTACAAGTCATCGCCGAAGTCACAACCACTACTTCGTACTGTTGTGCCCAGCGCGGGCTTGCGACTAGTTGGTTTGGAGGTGACAGCGTTGCGAATGACCGAGGGTCCTCGACGTCTGTCTCACCGTCCAGGAGCGACACTGACTCACGCTGCTATCTGGTGTTCACGAGGTGTTTGTCGCGCTGGAAACGGAGCGTCTCTGTAAGTTTGTATCCCTGGTGATGTTTGTGCCTGGAGAGCACTATATAAGTGGTGCTCTTCAGGGACAATCTTCCTCAGCCTACTCAAGCTCAACTGATGAGGGGTGAATTCCCCGAAACACTGTGTATTGAGCAGGGAGTGGTGCTTTCTTGCAGGTTTGCCGAGTCGAAGGTTCGATGGACTTCTCGTGTGCTCTGGATGGCAGTCGTGAGTCAGTCAAGTGTCAAGTAAAGTCGGCGGAATAGCGCGAGCTCCGGTGTGGGGAGCAAACCCTTTCTTCTTCTTCTTCTTCTTATTATTATTATTATTATTATTATTATTATTATTATTATTATTATTATTATTATTATTATTATTCAAACAGTAGTTTGGAGGCGGTGGGAAAACAGTTTCGTAATAAGTATTCGCATGCAATGACGCAAATCCACACAATTCAGTAGACACTTCTTTTCTATCAAACGTTTTCTTTCCCTTCTCTTCAGGATAGTACAGGGAATGATGGAAATTTGGAAAAACACATAACTATATAGAAAAATAGAGAAAAAGTCAACACTTCAACATAGGCGATAAAATGACTTAAGTGTGAAAAAAAACTCGAAAACAAAAGCAGCAAGTTGTAGACAAACACGTTGAACACATCAAGAAGCACTTGTCACACTTTCACGAGGTGTGACACCAAACAACTGCAACGATAACACATTCTCCTTCTGTACACATAGTTCTGGATCTAGTTTACGAATATACAGAGCTTCTAACACAGCAAGATGTAACTTAGACCTTCCACGAGTTAAAACCGAAAAGACATCATCACTATACAACTCACGACAATTAGCACTTCCCGACAAATGACGCTTGATGGACGATGTCCGATCATTTAGCTCTGTCACCTTCGACGTTTGCCGTTGTTCTCTTCCGTTGGGCTTGTTGACACCTCCAACGTCCTTTGAATTCATGGTCGTTTTCGTTTGACTCCTCGGTCTTCCTCGTTTCCTCCTCGATCGGACATCGTCCATCAAGCGTCATTTGTCGGGAAGTGCTAATTGTCGTGAGTTGTATAGTGATGATGTCTTTTCGGTTTTAACTCGTGGAAGGTCTAAGTTACATCTTGCTGTGTTAGAAGCTCTGTATATTCGTAAACTAGATCCAGAACTATGTGTACAGAAGGAGAATGTGTTATCGTTGCAGTTGTTTGGTGTCACACCTCGTGAAAGTGTGACAAGTGCTTCTTGATGTGTTCAACGTGTTTGTCCACAACTTGCTGCTTTTGTTTTCGAGTTTTTTTTCACACTTTAGTCATTTTATCGCCTATGTTGAAGTGTTGACTTTTTCTCTATTTTTCTATATAGTTATGTGTTTTTCCAAATTTCCAACATTCCCTGTACTATCCTGAAGAGAAGGGAAAGAAAACGTTTGATAGAAAAGAAGTGTCTACTGAATTGTGTGGATTTGCGTCGTTGCATGCGAATACTTATTATTATTATTATTATTATTATTATTTCTCCTTTATTCACTTCTTTCGAAGGCGATAAGCCAGACCCACCGGGAAATATTTCCATGGGTGGGACAGCAAAAAGAAAGTGAAAAAACAAAAACAAAAAAAAATAAATAAATAAAACCTAAAAACCAAAGGGACAAGAACTAGTTGAAGGAAGAGGAAGAAAGGAAAGAAACTCAATCCGAACTCCAACATCAAAACAATAATAAAGAATTTGCAGCAACAGGCAAAATACATCAACCAATGAAGGGAGTAGTAACAAAGGAAATATCAGTCTTTATCAGTCGTTATTCAAGTCTCTTAGCTATTGAACATGCAAACGCAGCAGAGGTGCATCTACATGTTAAGGATAGTTCTCAGTATTTTAATCGAACCTTGTATAGCCTCCTGTTGCACAATAGCCAGGTCTCCTCCCTGCACAGTCCGAAGGCATTGAGGAGTCTCCCCCACCAAGCCTCCCAGGGCACCGACAACCACAGGGACCACGTCAACCTGGTTGAGGGACCAAATCCTCGAAATCTCCCGCTTCAAATCATAATATTTCGAGCGCTTTTCAGCCATTTTCTTATTGATGTTGTTCTCACCAGGAACGCTGATGTCTATAATGTAGGCGATGCGCTCCTTGTCATCAACAAGGAGCAGATCGGGCCTGTTTGCTGATAGTTTCAGGTCAGTTGGGACCGAATACTCCCAATAGAGGCGATACTGATTACTCTTGACCAATGCCTTGAGCTGGTGGTCGAATCGTGAAGCACCAGTAGGTAGATCTCGTGCTTTACACATTTCGAAGTGCACATACTTTACTATCCGGTTATGTCGTTCAATGTAACTGGTCCGAGCCAGAACTGGGCAGGCACTGACAATGTGGTCAATTGTTTCTAAGCTGCCCTTGCAAAGCCTGCAATTGGCATCAGTTCGAGGAATTGACTTCATTATGGCGTATTGGTAATTTTTCGTTTTGAGGGATTGGTCTTGTGCTGCCATAATCATGCCTTCAGTTGAAGGTTTCAGTGTCCTTGATTTCAACCACATGAAGGTAAGCTCCTTATCTAGGCGATTCTCCTCCAATCGGCTCCAATACCTCCCATGCAGCGGCATAGTGGAAAGTGTTTTGGATTTTCGCTCAGCGCACGCTTGTTTAATGGTATGCTTATTGGGTAAAGCTGGTCCAGCTGCTGGCAGATCCAAACTCGACAGGAACTTAGCGGCCTTTGCAGTTATTGAGTGGCTTTTTGTTGTAGGTTTTTGTTGATGATACTGATAAAGCAGGCTTATTCTGTCTATTGGGCTGGTACTCATGTAGCGGGCCAGGCCACACATGCTCCGGCCGTGCATATCCTCACAAGAGACCAAGCCCCGGCCTCCATCTCCCCTCTTCATGTAGAGCCTGTTGACTGAGGCTTTGGGGTGGTGAAATCCAGACGCAGTCAAGGCTGATCTTGTCACTCGATCTGTGGTCTTGATTTCAGCCTCGGTCCAATTTACGATTCCATAACTATATGTCATAACCGGCAGAGCATACGTATTGATGGCCTTGATCATGTTTCGCGCATTCAATCCACTGTTAAGAAGCAAATACAATCTCTTTTTGTATTCTGCAGTGAGTTGCGTCTTGAGCTTCGGGTGAGGTATCATGGCTGCTTGCACTACTCCAAGGTACTTGTATGTTTCATTGAGTCGTAGCGACTCTGCAATGGTCTCATCGCCAACCTGGATAGAGCATCCTTCATCTGGTTTTCCTCTCCTGACGTGCAGCACGGCACACTTGGCCGGGTTGAGATTCATGCCGATGTCATCACCAACGCCACACACGGTAGACACGAGGGTAGTCACATCCTTTGTAGTTTTCCCATAGAGTTTAATGTCGTCCATGTACCAAGAGTGATTGATAGACAACTCGGCGTCTCTGCAGCTGACTCTGTATCCCAAAGGCAATCGGTTGAGCTCAAAACTGATTGGGTTTAGCGCCAGGCAAAACAGTAACGGGGATAATGTGTCACCTTGAAATATGCCTCTTCTTATTGAAATGTTGCCGGTAGTGACCCTGCATCTTCCCTGGTCGCATATGTGCATTGTCGTTCTCCAGTTCCGCATGCTACGAGCAATAGTTGTGACCAAAGACGGGTGGAATCGATACATCGTCAAAGCATGTAGAATCCATTCATGCGACACACTATCAAATGCCTTTTTGAAGTCCAGGTATGCCATGACCAGATTTTTTTTTTTTTTTTATTATTATTATTATTATTATTATTATTATTATTAAAAGTAGAAAGGAAAAGGACATTGGCTCAATACCCGAGTTTCAAATTATTATTATTATTATTATTATTATTATTATTATTATTATTAACTAGTTTGAGGGAAAGAGACAAACGGGAAAAGTCTGAAGAAAAAATTGACTGTCACCACCAGGACTCGAACCAGGGACCCTCGCTTGTAGCCAGCGATGCTCTAACCACTGAGCTATGGTGTAGTCGTCATCCCAGCAGAGGCCGTTCAACATTTTCTTCAGACTTCGTAACTCACACTTCCTGTGAATCCACACAGGCGGGTGGGACGCAGCCCTCACTGTAACCCACACACTTCACGTACAAACTAGCACGCGGGGAGCCCCAAGTCATAAAATATTAACTGGTTTGAGGGAAAGAGACAAACGGGAAAAGTCTGAAGAAAAAATTGACTGTCACCACCAGGACTCGAACCAGGGACCCTCGCTTGTAGCCAGCGATGCTCTAACCACTGAGCTATGGTGTAGTCGTCATCCCAGCAGAGGCCGTTCAACATTTTCTTCAGACTTCGTAACTCACACTTCCTGTGAATCCACACAGGCGGGTGGGACGCAGCCCTCACTGTAACCCACACACTTCACGTACAAACTAGCACGCGGGGAGCCCCAAGTCATAAAATATTAACTGGTTTGAGGGAAAGAGACAAACGGGAAAATTATTATTATTATTATTATTATTAGTCCACCACAAGTTACAAGAATTGAGCAGATATTCACCCTCCAAATGCTCATACTTCAAAAACTGAATAAAAATATTGTTAAAAGAAAGGACCAACATGTTGCATGTTATCCATAGTCAGTGTGTTATACTACTTGTTACTGCGGGGGGGGGGGGGGGGGGGGGGGGGGTTCGTTACTCCACTACAACCCCCCCCCCCCATTCTACATGTAGTTTAGTACGAAGAGATAGTGCCATAGGGTCTGTCTCACTTCGTCTTTGCGTAGCTTCCCCTCTTATTGCTAATCTTTGATAAACATGAGCTTCCAAAGTTGGGTGGTTGTTGTTTCGTGTTCTCGAAGTGTTGAGTGCTCTCACCTTCCCCTTTCTCATGTTATTTCATAACTTAGAACCTTCCAAGTTTGAAGGCTGTGGGTTTGCGCATCCAAGACGTGATAGAGCTTTTAAAACATCAGGTCGTTGAATGTCAGTATCACATCAGTCAGTATTGTGCTAGCTGTTGCACCTTCTGACTGCACAACATCTTGCTTATAACCGTTAGTGTTGGACACAAACTACGGATAAGGCAATGTAAAATATATTGATTGTTTATCGTCAGATTTTCCCGAGAAATCGGGGCGGACGGGAGGTTTTAATTTTATTTTTTATTATGCATTTATGGCTGTAGGGCAGGTGTTCGCAACACCAGTGGATAATGCAAAGTGGAACAACCAACGTTACGTAGAAAAAACGAAGAAAATCAGGCAGCTTATGATCAGTTTCATCAAGAGTACATGAAAACCGGTTTTCACGTACTCTTAATCTTGGTTTCACTTTTCAAGCCCATAGCAACTAAGTTATGGTTCAGTCTGTGGGCTTGACCTTGGAAATCTACGGCCATGCTGATTAGAGGCTGTAGACCGCAGTACATGTATACACACAGTACATTTACCAGTACATACTAAAAAATAAAATAATTCGGCGGGGAAGGTGAAAATTTGGGGCGGGCGCGGACGATAAACAATCATTTTTTTTACTTGGCCTAACATGTAACATGTTTGTCCTTTCTTTTAATCTTAATCTTTGGTTCTATCGGAAAAAAATATTGTGATCGACAATTAGCATTTTAAGTCGTACTTTCATTGACTTATGGCTTGGCTTTCTCATGTTCTCATGTGTGGCATCAAGCCCTAGGTGTTCTGTAAAACACAGCAGCAGCATGGTATCGAATCACAAATTGTGACATTGATAATGTCGCTGTAGAACAGTGGCGAGTCTGAAGTTCTGGTATAGGTACGGCCCTGAGTGACCGGCTTTAAGTGCAACCATTGCCGGTGTTCGACAGGGCTGTCTTCTATCTCCTATCCTCTTCAATCTATTTCTGGAGCATGATATCGGTCTGAGGCTTTGGATAATTTTGATGGATTAGGGCAGACTGGAGGTTTTCCATCACCAACTTGAGGTCAATGTGACAACAACGTTTCCGACTCACATTGAAAGACCATAAGGACCACTTCCAGAATAACCTGCTGCCCTGTCTGTTGTATAGTTCAAACTACAGGGGCGTCACCGGACGGACCCCTTCACAGGGGGGTGCACAGGAATTTTGCACAGGAAAACACGAAAAAGTTCGCTGATACTAGTGAGCTGGCCAGACGCTTTCCTTTTTCGAGAAGACGACACTTTTGAGAGGAAACAGCTCCAAAGACTATCAGGATTCCACCTGTACAAGGCCAAAGGATGCAGCGCTGTGCACACGTACAATCGGTCATGTACATGCACTCGCTACATGCACTCACGCGATCGCGGCAGACAAGTACAACTAGTTTTAGTGCATGCAGTTTATTAGTAGATTCTACCAGCACTACACTTTTCATAACCAGGAGCTCGCAAAAAAACAAAGTCGATTTTTAGGGGGGGGGGGGGTGCACGTGCCCCCCGTGCCCATCACGGGTGACGCCCCTGAACTAAATGTTGTATTTTTGTTTTCAGGTACCTGGGTGGTGATGTCTGGACTCATGGTAAGCCAAACAGAGTGGCTGGGCTTTTTTTAGGGTTCTTAGCTAGCCATACTGGAAGCCTCATTCGGTTTGGAATGCAATCACTAGTACTCCAGGGGGGTGGTTCTCGAAAATGGCCTGATAGATTTTCTTCATTTCTTCAATAAGCACAGCCAGCTACGTGGTTCATATGCTAGACATTACAAGTAGATAGTTCTCTTTGAATCAATGTGAAATACCTCTTCGAATCAATGTGAAATACCTCTTTGAATCAATGTGAAATACCTCTTTGAATCAATGTGAAATACCTCTTTGAATCAATGTGAAATACCTCTTTGAATCAATGTGAAATACCTCTTTGAATCAATGTGAAATACCTAGGAGCATCGTTTACTGAATCCCAATATTGGCTGACATGTGCGGTGGACCAAAACCTTATCAAGTTATGGTGAAACATAATGGGCCCGGAGTTTTCATTCAACATTTGCAGAGGTATACCTTGTTATGAATGCGAAGAGTCTTCAAAGTTATAACCCCCTGCAGCAACAAGATCAAGACATCTTCCCAAGTGCATTCAGTCGTGTCGAGCTCAAGCTCAAGAGTGACAGTATGTTCTTTTACGACTCCAGTGTTTCTGTATGTGCTTATCACATTACACTACATGTATGCACCGGCCCAATCAGTGACCGGTTTTTGCATTTATCAGATGGACCCGGCATCTCAGATGAAAAGTGGGGTAGCCACGGCTGGTCCCAGTCACCCCTGCTCCAATGTTGCTGAGCATTGCATGCATATTATCATCATTCACAGCAAAGTGGCAGGAAATGGTGGAGACCTCTGCTGCCTTCCTTCAGATTGATATACACTCAAACGTCTCTTATCCAGACGCCGCAGATACGGACACATCTCCCTACCAGGCACCTTCAGCTTGATTTCATATGGCAAAAATGCTTCGAATTTGGGGGTTTTTTGAACTTTTTTGTATGTACAAGGGCTTATATGTCACTGCCGGCCTGTGATTTTTATCAATGGATTCTTTTTGTATCCTGAACATGTGCAATGTGTGCCAAATAAACTTCTTCAAAAAATGATATGATACAGGGTAGATGAGTTATCCTGAGATACGGGCAAATCTGAGATACGGGCAGTGCCCGGTCCCAAGGTGCCCGGATAAGAGACATCCGAGTGTACTCAAGTACATTGTAGTCAGGCCAATGCTCATCCTCCTCAGTCATGCCTCAGTCATGCTACATTTGTCGGGTGGGTTTACATTGAGTGCACACATCCAAGAAGTATTGGCAGGCCTGGCGGAACCGGTCCAGTTGCCGGGTCTGGCTCCGGCCGGACCGACATTTTGGCCACCAACACGTGAGGTGGTGATGTGCACCTGCCATATCATGCACAATGCATGCACAATGCATGAACAATGCATGAAGGGCTACGGTATGGCCGCACCAATCAAGAACGACTTGCGCCGCCGGTGCTGACCGGTACAGGCTTGCCACGCACTTCCGCCGGTGCTGACCGGTACAGGCTTGCCAAGCACTTCCGCCGGTGCTGACCAGTACAGGCTTGCCAAGCACTTCCGCCGGTGCTGACCGGTACAGGCTTGCCAAGCACTTACCCCACAGACATAAGAACAGGCCATAGAGAAGTGTTGCCTCATTGTCAAACACATGAGCACTCTGCCAGAGACAGAAAAAGATGCACGGTGCATAAACATTTAAACATTGTAACATTGTGATTTACAACTTGTTAGCCAAGACCGTTTTGCGATGAAAAGGTTATCAGACAGACTCACCATGTTTGCTCAGTGATCCAAGCTATTGAGTATTGCAATGGAAGCATTCAACGTTTTGTGGACTGATTCACTCTACTAATTACCAGGATAAAAGCATTGAATAGGTGCATGTATGTTGAAATTCATTCCATATGTGCTGCTTGATGGGCATCTCTGCATACTACACTAAGAGCCCCAAACAGTTCTCAATTGCAAAGTTTCCTGGCTTGCACAGTATATATTACAATTATTATAAACAACTCCTACTCATCATCCCAACAAAAGGAAACTACCATACCTTCACTGAGAGGCAGATATCAGAGAGCTTCCAGAACTTGCAATGAGCACATGTTGGGCACATGACATGTGCACTGTGACAGATTGTCAAACTTTGTCCATTCAACAGGAAACACAGAAGAACATAAGAACCAGACGCTCAGAAAATGAACACCACAAACTACAACGAACATGTACAAAGTATGTGTTGGGTCGCTGAGACTGGTTACCAGGGCAACTGGTCTGCACTCATGCCTCCCTCTAGCTCTCTTGCATGCAGTCACTGACTCTTTTTCTCTCGGTTCGGTTTCATCATGTAGTAGATCGACTCTCCCTCTCCCATCTCTCATCTCCCATCTATCTCTCCCTTATTGTCTCCTCCAATACCAATGCCCTCCCCAGGCTACCTCCTCCTTTGCTTGTTGTGAATGCTGACCACATGAATGATGACAGTGCAACAGTGGCGCCTAACATGGGGCTCAACCCATGAACAAAACCCGAATTGAGAAATTAGAAGTTCTTCATCGCCGTATCCTTCGTATAATATTTCGTACAGACCGGTGCGATTCAAACTCAGACTTGTATGCTGCTGCATCAACTACCACTTTGCAACACGATCTTGATGCTTCTAAGTGCACCCTGGCACATTCTATTTTTCTTGACCAGCGCCCTGCTAATTTACAGTCGCTTAATTGATTTAAGTCAGGTGGTACCACCGGAAGCTGCGTTCGTCTCCTCCTAGCTAGGTCTACCCTATTCGTAAATTCCCCTTTCTTTTCCGCCGACTCCACATGGCTCCAACTGCCTCCCAGTGTTAGACAAGCTCCGGATACAGTCAACTTCGCGTATAACGACACTTGGCGGGGCATCAGAAAAGTGTCCTTATTCGCGAAGTGCCGTTATACCCAAAGTCTCATTATATGTATTACAGCAAGATGGGACTTTCCTCTGGGCATGGAAATTCTGTCGTTATTCGCGAATTGTCGTTATATCCGCAGTCGTTATTCGCGAAGTTGACTGTATGCCAAATTCCGTACCCTTGTCAGACAGCACTTCAGTATCTTCCAGTAAACAAAATCACAGTCACCGCTTCCGCTGAATAGCCCGCTGGGCATCCCATTGCTTTGTAAGTTGCTAATCCCTTCCTTTTTGTGTACATGCTTTTCATTTTCTTTTTCCTCTTCTTCCATGGTTGGTTTCACCCTCTCCTCGATTCAATTGGCTGTCTTGACATGCTACGAGATGCAGAAATATACTTCCTTCGTATACAAAAACTTGGCGACTTTTTGTTTTTTGAAGGCTGCGCACAGCTCTGGAATTGTTCCGTTTGACTTGGAATAACACTCGTGGCATTGTCTGGCCTGTTTACAAGCTATATACAAAGAAAAAAGCAACTCGGACGAATGAGATTGAGTTTATTCAGAGTCTTCGTCGCTCGTGTCATTGTCACCTGACGACGCTGACTCTGCATCGCCAACAGTCGCTGCTTCGGCGCGCATTTTGTTCAGCTTGTCAGCTGCAGTGATGATCCGACGCTGGACATTGGCTACGTCCTCTTCATCTCCAGAGCTGTGTACGAATCGGTGTCGACTATGTTCAGTCGTTCCAACCCGCGACCTCCATTATGCCATGAAACGAGTCGTTCAAGCACATCCACACGCTTTGCATTTTCTCGGCAAGATAATCCTCCCAGCATTCTACAACGGCTTCGAGGAGGTCCCTGCGATTCCCCTTGGTGACAAAGGAGACGTCTGACTGGAGAAAAGCGAAGAAAGCTAGGTCATCGACATTCCGATCCGGAGTTGCACGACTACTGAAATGACTACTGAAATGTTTCATCTTGCCGTGCGAGCGGAACAGCTTTGTGTTCTCACGCTGCGTATGAGGCCACGCACCGTGAGTACGAGCCTGGCCAGCTTCAGGGCAGCAAGTGCCGCGTGACTCCGTGTTCCAGCCGCGAGCTCTACTTCGTCACTGTGTCAGTTTCGAGCAAGTAAGTGTAAGTTTTTTTTCATTTGACTCGTGAGTTCCTGTCGGCGACGTCCTTACACGCATGGCTTCCGTGGAGAATCAGTTCGGATCAACCAAAAACTTACCTCGACATGAATGTAAGTTGTCGATGACAGCCTTTGGCGCGTTTCGTTGAGCAGGTTCTTGCTCAAAAACACCGTTGAAAAAAGGCACGAAGTTTTTGTATACGGAGGAAGTATAAATAAAATAAACAAATGAATAAATGCACGGCCCTGAGTCACATGCTCTACCGACTGAGTCAGTAGAGCATAAGGCCCTTGCGTTGGGCGCCAATGCTACCCAGCACAACGATACTCGCTATGGGCACAGATAGTTTGAGGTGTAAGCGAGGGGTAGATAGAGGTCCAGGGTAATTGCATATGCGCCCGCCGTCCATATTTGCCATAGTCAGTAGCTACCGATGCGTAGCCTTCATCTACAGTACCCGTTTTCTCACACCTCCTAAAACTCTCCATACCGATAACGAGAGGAAGAACAATCTCCACTATTGTCGTGCTGTTGCCCTTTGGTGCGTGATGTGAGCTGACTTGACAAATGCGGCAGAAAAGGTCTTACATAGTAGGGTCAGCTACAATAGTGGCTAATCCATAGATGAATGTAATGAAGCCCACAATGGCAGGCGGTATTAGACTCATCGTGTAGTAGCCTACAAGATGACACACAAAAGACACACAGCAAGAACATGGTTGAGCAAGGATTCAACTTCTGAAGCACAACTCAGTCTTGGCCACTCGCCTCAAAGATCACTATAGTGAATGGCTGCTGAAGAGTGTAGGCTAAAGCCGCTAAACCAATCTACCTTAGAACACTCCTCTTCATTTTTTTCATTTAAATGCATACAGCAATGTTGTTATTCAGGGAAAATTCAGCCTGGCCATTCTTTGGCAAGCGAATGCACTGTGACAGGAAAGAGAAACTGTAACCAAAAGCATGCAATACCTTGTTAGGTCTTCATTCAGCTGTGGGTCCGACATCTCTCTCAGCTGTTCAACACTAAACTAGATTCTTCGTCAACTACTATAGGTATTGTTATGGGAGTCCGCTGGCTCATTGTTTATCAAAGTCAGAGTTTTACCTAAAAGAAGATGATACACGTGTAAACGGTAGTTTGCATCTAACGTGGTAGCTCACGCTTTCCTGCAACTTCATGTGCGACTTATGACCGACATATTAGTAAGGATGCAGCTTTGAAACACCACCAACAAACCATCTGTGGCTCCTCTCAAGAAAACAATGGATGTCATGACTGTGACAAAGTGGGATTTGCTTTGCTTCAAACAACCAACTTACCTAGCCATGTGAAGTAGAATGCAACCCGTTCTCCAAAGTAATCCCTGAAAGAGTACAGTGAAAATGAAAATCAGTTCCTGAATGACGACCTACACATTGTCAGGGTATTGGAGTGTTCACTGGCATGTCATGAGGATCTTAGTGGGAGTTAAGGAGTTCCAGAAGATTAGCTGCAATATAAACCAATGCTGTGATCAGTGGCCCCGGCTAGCTATTAGCAATCACAGGGTAATAGACTGGGATATAGGTATGGTGGTGTAAGTGGACACATGCCCCTAATCTATGAAGTGCATACACTGAGCTGGGTGATGTGCAACATGCCAGTCAATACAATGTGTTGGTGACGCATGTGATTTGATGACAGTATGAGGCACAAACACAAATAACTACCAAATGAGATGGGGAGAGAGAGAGAGAGAGAGAGAGAGAGAGAGAGATTGGTTGTAGATTGTGACTCGGGAATACAAGGTACAGGTCCTCCCTCATTATAACGAGTCCGGTTACTACATAAACCCCGTTAGTAAATATAAATCTGAAATCCCCTGGTGAAACGTGGTCTATACAACTGTTTACAGGTCCGGTTACAACATAATCCGTTAGTACCTAAAATCCGTTATAACGACCCTTTGCCCAGGTCCCTGGAGTGCCAAACCCTCAGTATAAGATAATATTGACCATGCAGGACCAAGGCCAAAACACGTAGGATAAAGCAGAAAGAGGAAACGTATTATGTCTATGTATTTATGAATATGAACGATCCTTTGCATCCAAGGAAGAGTTATGTTGGAGTAACTTGGAGATTTTCAATTATCTTATAACGAGTTGAAGCATCGATAATTTATGTTGTATCGAGGGTAGCCCCGGTAAGTATGAAGTAGTGCCTATTTCACCTTTAGCTGCAAGTCCTGCTACAAGATAAGTCTCGTTATAAGATAACTTTTTCGATGGCCCAGAGATTATCTACTAACGAGGGAGGACCTGTACTTCCTCCGTATACAAAAACTTCGTGACTTTTTTTCAGCGGTGTTTTTGAGCAAGAACCTGCTCAACGAACCGCGCCAAAGGCTGTCATCGACAACCCACATTCATGTTGAGGTAGGTTTGGTTGATTTCGAACAGATACTCCACGGAAGCCATGCGTGTGAGGACGTTGCCGACAGGAACTCACGAGTCAAATGACAAAAAAACTAACACTTACTCAAAACTGACACCGTGACGAATTGGAGCTCGCGCCTGGAGCATGCACGGAGTCACGACCCACACGGCACTCGCTGCCCTGAAACTGGCCAGGCTCGTACTTGCGGTGCGCGGCCCCATACGCAGCGTGAGAACATAAATCGGTTCCGCTCGCACGGAAAGATGAAACATTTCAGTAGTCATTTCAGTAGTCGTGCAACTCCGGATCGGAATGTCGACGACCTAGCTTTCTTCGCTTCTCTCCAGTCAGACGTCTCCTTTGTCACCAAGGGGAATCGCAGGGACCTCCTCGAAGCCGTTGTAGAATGCTGGGAGGATTATCTTGCCGAGAAAATGCAAAGCGTGTGGATGTGCTTGAACGACTCGTTTCATGGCATAATGGAGGTCGCGGGTTGGAACGACTGAACATAGTCGACACCGATTCGTACACAGCTCTGGAGATGAAGAGGACGTAGCCAATGTCCAGCGTCGGATCATCACTGCAGCTGACAAGCTGAACAAAATGCGCGCCGAAGCAGCGACTGTTGGCGATGCAGAGTCAGCGTCGTCAGGTGACAATGACACGAGCGACGAAGACTCTGAATAAACTCAATCTCATTCGTCCGAGTTGCTTTTTTCTTCGTATATAGCTTGTAAACAGGTTAGACAATGCCACGAGTGTTATTCCAAGTCAAACGGAACAATTCCAGAGCTATGCGCAGCCTTCAAAAAAAGTCACGAAGTTTTTGTATACGGAGGAAGTAACTGTTATAATTATACAGTGTCAGTGTCAGTGGGCTACTCCGTAGGTGACATGCATGTGTACCTGATTGTATGCAATGGTTGATATTTATACCAGCAAGAGAACGTAGCCCATGTTACAGCCAGCTCCTGTAGAAAAGGATAGACGCGCAACAGAGCAGTCACATCCGGCCACAAGTACTTAAGTACTGCTGGCACCCTGAGTACTTTGCATGCACATTTCAAACACAAAATCCTTCATGCATACTATACCCTGGATACGAAATCTGATGTTGAACCCTGGCTTATACGGCCGTAAGCACCTGCTTTTATACGCGACGTTACGGTATTGCACGCTGTGCAGTCAATCCGTACCTTGGAGCGGACACAAGCTCCACACAAAAACCTGCCAACTTGCTGAGTGTGACCTTAGTAGACTAAGGTTCTCACACGGTACAAACTTCGTTGCACTCTGCCATGCGATTTTCCTTTCCCTGCCTGTAAAATCAAGGTGGGGCGCTCTCGCGAGACGGGGTACTCTCGCGAGACTGGGCGCTCTGGCGGTACTTTACGGTACATGCACATTTTACATGATTTTGTAGCTGGCTCTACTGTGTGAGCCAGTGCGTTGGGGGTCTGTATGCATGCTTGATGAAAAAAACGGCAGCAAATCATTTTGGTATTGGCCAGGAGATCAGGAGATGTGTAAAAAACAACAGAAAATCGGGACATCTCCCGGCTGATCGGGAGACTTGGCACCAAACAAATGTACCTAGCACATCCACAGGACCACTAAGGGTATGTTTGATTTGTCGGATCTGGATACAGATCAATCGAATCCACTCAATATGTGCACGTTCGTTTCAACGAATCCGGATCCAGATCCAACGGATTTGGATCCGACCAACCCTACTCCGGTAGCAGGGTTGACTAGATCCACCAGATTCTATTTTTGTCAAAAACTACTCTATACGTGATACTTGTACAACATGTGGGAATAAAGCGAGGATGCAGAAATATCGTTGCTTTCTCTGATGGAAACCCTCAAAATCACTAAAATTCCAGATTCGATCAAGGGCAGCGTTTGGACTTAAGTGGATCCAAAGGATGCATTCACTTGACCTGGGTTCCGGATCCAACCAATCGAACATACCCTAAATAGCTCCACACAGACCAGATCACATGCATAGCAGCCGCATCTCACCTCTCTCGGGCATGTGTTCTTAGTGTCCCAATTGATCATGTCCATGGACTCTGCGAGATCTGCCTTACCCTGAAGAAGCAAAACAAAAAAAAGATTAAATCTCTGGCTGAAGCCTTTTGCCGGTAGTTTGCTGCAATAAGAAACAGTACTGGAAGTGGGTAAAAGGTGTGCCTACTCCTGATGAAGAGTGGGGTTGTCATGGTTACAGTAGTGTGTGCACTCTACTAACCTGATGAAGAGTGGGGTTGTAGTGTGTGCACTCTACTAACCTGATGAAGAGTGGGGTTGTAGTGTGTGCACTCTACTAACCTGATGAAGAGTGGGGTTGTAGTGTGTGCACTCTACTAACCTGATGAAGAGTGGGGTTGTAGTGTGTGCAATCTACTAACCTGATGAAGAGTGGGGTTGTAGTGTGTGCACTCTACTAACCTGATGAAGAGTGGGGTTGTAGTGTGTGCACTCTACTAACCTGATGAAGAGTGGGGTTGTAGTGTGTGCACTCTACTAACCTGATGAAGAGTGGGGTTGTAGTGTGTGCACTCTACTAACCTGATGAAGAGTGGGGTTGCAGTAGTGTGTGCACTCTACTAACCTGATGAAGAGTGGGGTTGTAGTGTGTGCACTCTACTAACCTGATGAAGAGTGGGGTTGTAGTGTGTGCACTCTACTAACCTGATGAAGAGTGGGGTTGCAGTAGTGTGTGCACTCTACTAACCTGATGAAGAGTGGGGTTGCAGTAGTGTGTGCACTCTACTAACCTGATGAAGAGTGGGGTTGTAGTGTGTGCACTCTACTAACCTGATGAAGAGTGGGGTTGCAGTAGTGTGTGCACTCTACTAACCTGATGAAGAGTGGGGTTGCAGTAGTGTGTGCACTCTACTAACCTGATGAAGAGTGGGGTTGTAGTGTGTGCACTCTACTAACCTGATGAAGAGTGGGGTTGTAGTGTGTGCACTCTACTAACCTGATGAAGAGTGGGGTTGTAGTGTGTGCACTCTACTAACCTGATGAAGAGTGGGGTTGTAGTGTGTGCACTCTACTAACCTGATGAAGAGGGAATGCAGCAGTGTATGATCTGTTATCCAGTAACTGGCTGATACCTAAGTGTTGATGAAGATGATGATGATGATGATGATGATGATGATGATGATGGAAATAATGACAGCAGTAGCGGTGGCGACCACAACGACAATGATGATGACAACGATGATGTCAGCATCGGTGGCAGCAGCAAGGGTGACGACGACGACCACAACAACAGCAGCAGCAGCAGCAGCAATAACAAAACCGGGAACAAACACGATGATCAAGTTTGTGGTGTTCAAGCAAGAACTGCATGACATCACCGTCGAGACATGCTAATGCAGTGCACAACTAGAGCGCGTGTATGCATGCACATGCATACACGCATGCATACATATAATGATGTACATACACAATAGCGAGAGTTCCCAGATTGTCTGAGGATTGCCTTAGCTTGGCTATGTGCATGAAACACAGCGTTACAACAATGACCTAGCCGGTTGTCTCTGTTCTCTTCTGCCTTTGTGCTTTATGTACATGCATACATACGCACACGGCACACACACCCACACACACACACAGCACACACACGCACACACACACACACACACACACACACACACACACACACACACACACAGCACACACACACACAGACACACACACACACATGTGCGCGCGCCCGTGGTAAATGCATAACACCATAAATCCCTAATACGTGTTAACACGCATGAACCTCAATATCACAGACCCAGTGGAGAGCACACAAAGATATCGAGGATTGATGGGGTGCTGGGCAACCGAATCTGGCATATGATAGCAGGTAGGACAATACACAGACGAGGTGCAGTGCCCATGATAGGGCGAAGTGCTGACGGTTAGGGGGCAGAAGTTTGGGCGTACGAGTGTGATGGCAGAAAGCCGTGGTAGATTGCCAGATGAGAGGGGAAAGCTGGCCCAGCACTCCTATTTTATTATTGTCTTTTACCACAATAATCATCCATAGATGGGGTGAGGTGGATGGGCCAGAAAGAAGAAAGCTAGTGTTTTTCCCACAAATCAAGCAAAGCATCCTGTAAAACGGCTCATTTGAGCTCCGGTGATATTTTAGCGAAATGAGTGTTTTCGCTAAATTTTGCAGCGCCAATCGAAATTTTGCAGGTGCAGTACAGTGCTAGTCACCTTTTTAAAATATTTATTCTGAAACCCGGATCGCAAAAGTATTTCATCGTGAATTGGTCCTGATTTAGAAAATGCTAAACATTCTACCCGCTAAAATTGACTGTTCTACAGTATATGGAAGTAGCAAAGTAGCCAGCGCAAAATATAGTGTGTGCGCTATGGGTTATGGCCTCTGCTGTGTGCCGCAGCCCGCGTGTAGCTGGCTGGCAAGATCAGGTGAGTTCCGGCATACGCATATAGCGTACAACTGCGGCGTGCGTGTAAATGCTATGTGACATGCATCAATGAACAATGTGTGGTCTGTAGGCTCCCTAGAGACAGCTGGAGCGTGAGGTGATGACTTTTGCAATGTGTTAAAAGGGAAGTACACCCTAAAATCAAAATTTCAAGAGTTGTAGTCTCGGGGTGCTGAGTCGAATGGTCTTGGTCCGAGGAAGCTGAGACTCTCCCTTCCTCCTTTATTCCCAATCGAACTCGTGCACTTCCACCAAAACTGGGTGACTGTGCCCTACTAGATGGAGATTTGTATGCAAAATGTCACTAAAAGCGCCGTTTCGTTCTTATAAAAGCACGGATGACCGTGATTGGTCCATATGTTGTAGTCTTTTGGACGCTGAGTCGACTGGTTTTGGTCCGAAAAGGCTACGATGCAGCGTTCGGCCCTTATTCCCAATCGAACACGGGTGAGTAAGCGGTCACGTGCTCATGCGTACACCAGTCACCTGGTCACCGTGGCTGCAGGGCCAGTGCAGGCTACAGCGTTCCTGTCACTCGAGTTTAACCTTGGCGTGAAAGTTGTAGCCTGCATGAGCACGTGACCGCTTACTCACCCGTTTTCGATTGGGAATAAGGGCCGAACGCTGCATCGCAGCCTTTTCAGACCAAAACAAGTCGACTCAGCGTCTAAAAGACTACAACATATGGGCCGATCGCGGTCATCCGTGCTTTTATAAGAAAGAAACGGCACTTTTAGTGACATTTTGCATACAAATATCCATCTAGTAGGGCGCAGTCACCCAGTTTCGGTGGAAGTGCACGAGTTCGATTGGGAATAAATGAGGAAGGGAGAGTCTCAGCTTCCTCGGACTAAGACCATTCGGCTCAGCACCCTGAAGACTGCAACTGGTGAATATTTGCTATAGGGTATACTTCCCCTTTAACCTACATTAGCGCAAGATTTAATGTGCTCATTTTTTAAATACCGTAACCAGAAAAGTGAAGAAAATACAGAAAATACAGATAATATGCCTGCATCATGTCATACCTAAAGCCCCTGGCTCACTGGAATACTTGGTGCGGTCCAAGATATGAGATACCTGCAACACACATGACCACATCGTAACATTGCCACCCAAGAATATAATTATAACAAATATACAAAGTCAAAGATTCAGTCCGACTGAGGTTTCCGCATCTGCAGGATTACCACCACCCTCAAATCAAGGCGCGTGTGCAACTCCTAAAGCGGTGGGAGGTGAATAGATCAGACCCACCACAAAGTGGTCAAAGACCGAAAATCCCATTCGCTGCATCAATGTTACCTCCTTACATGACACGTGATCGTATCCTAGGAGTTGCCCAATCACCACCTTTCCAGCCGCAGGCATGATTGAGCCATCATGCCCGCTGCCCTTGGCAACACTGACATCACTTCAGGTATGATTGACAATCATGCCCGTGGTCAAGTGGCAACGGGATGTAGCCAATAATATGACAAGGCGCGGGTTTTGAAGAAAGAAGTGGAAGTACTTGTAGAAAGGAATGTCAGTTAACGGGAGGCAGTTTTTTTGTGGTTCTTACTGGCTGTGAGGATGGAGCCTTCTTCCAAGAGATTTCTACCCGTTGTACCCGTTTCTTCTTCCAAGAGATTGTCTACTGAAGTAAAGCGTTTCGCAAGAACATGTTGACTCCGTAATTAGCGCTCGAGTCCCAGAAAGTTCCAGAAAATTCCAAGAAGCCCACCAACTCTTGGTTCAAGTTGGCAGATGCTTTCCGTGGTACATACCACAAAAAAGATTTCTCTTGGGAGAACTCGAGCAAAGCTGAACTCAGCGAATTCCTGGTGGCGCTCTACATTGGGGCTCGTTGCCAGGACGAGCAAGAGTTATCAACGTAACAGTCTACTGGACCTTAGAGCGGCATTGTTCAGAAAGCTGCACGATAAGCGCGGAATTGATATCATCAACGACGTGGCTTTCCACCGCGCAAATGCTGCACTCGACGGTAAGCTGAAGCTCCTGAAGAAGGAAGGAGACCTGAAGCCAGTGGTGCACAAGGACATTATCAGTGATGGTGATCTTGAGAAGATAAGGCTCTATTTTCTACATTATAAAACGCACGAGAACCTCAACCTGCACGTGTGGTTTTCAATCACGCTACATCTGGGACTACGCGGACGAGAGCTACAGCACCGCCTCACAAAACGAGACCTTATGAGAGAGTTTGATGAGGACGGCAAACCATTGTGCAAATGTTTTGATCACATTCAATGTTTCGCGCTGATCCTACAATATTGCTGCACTGTGTTGGGTAACGCTCCTGTAATATTGCTGCACTATGTTGGGTAACGCTCCTGTATTAAGTCTTGCGTTACGCTCTACATTCCATGATGCTGTTGTACATGCTGGAAAGAGACCGGCTATTTTTCTTCCCTTTAGATATACTACTATTATTGTGGAACTGGGCGTAGTTCTTTCTTGTTGCATGTTTCTCGCAGTGGTTTTATTGAACAGAGTACTGTAGTATAGTGGAGGTGGGCCTAGTCTGGCCCTAGTCTGGGCGTACCATGCCATGAAATGTTCTCTCTTGTCTTCTTGACTCTTGTTACCTCGTGTGTTCTGGCTGTGACCAGTACAGAGTGACTTTTCACGGAACTGTGCTAGTCTTTGAGTAGACTACGTTCCGTGCGTGTGCATGGGTCAAGTAAGAAAGCCAATCATACACGGTCTGGAGGGCTTGCTGGCTGAATCATGCCCTCTCTCCCAGCCCTCGGGCGGGGAGCTCAGGCATGATTCAGCCATCAAGCCCTCCAGACCGTGTATGATTATAATAATATTATTATACATCATGCCAGGCCAGGGATTTAGCCAGGTCAAAAAGGATCGGAATGGGTTGCTAGTATAATACAGTGGGACACAGGCCTTCGACCATCCAAGTTTATAGACCACCCAGGGAAATTCGACCACTTTTCCTGTGCCCAAACAGGCCCACATATATACTATAAAGAAGAGGCACCTGTGGCGTGTGTTTGTCTGTGTGTTACGCAGAAGCGCTGCGGAGCAGCGCTGCCCTGAGCACGCGAAGCGTGCGAACAGTGTAGCTAGCGGCCGCAGAAGCACTGAGCACGCGAAGCGTGCGAATCGTGTAGCTAGCGGAAGCAGCCACAGAAGCACTGAGCACGCGAAGCGTGCGAATCGTGTAGCCACCACCACGTGCTGAGCACGTGTGCTGTTCATGTACTTGCTTCACCCGCATGCCACGTTCGGCCAGGCAACGCTGGCCGGGTGCTGCTAGTACTAAATACATCAGCCCATGGGAGCCCTAGGTTAGTGCCAAAGCCGGTTGCCAGCTTTCTGATGTTCCACTGTGGATATAGTAGAGGAGTAGTGTGAAGTGTGAGTAGGATCAGTTCTAGGTGATCAGTTCTAGGTGATCAGTTCTAGGTGTACATCATGAGAAAAGCGCTGGACCTGTAATTTGAACTCGGAAGTTGAGCCAATGTAATCATGGATGAAAGGAAGGAAAAAGGGTACGAGTTATGACTGTAGCTGTCCAGCAATGTAACCAGATCGTATACAGTCACCTAGTGTGATAACTGATAACGTGGCACAAAACTGCCAGGAACTTCAGTACTGAGACATACAACGACCTGACACGTAACTCCAACACATCTGTGAGGCGCATACCAACAACCTTGAGAATAGAGAATAGGCACAAAAGTGATCGAAAGCCAGCCCAGCGGTTATCTCCTGTGATCCTTCCACCTGGCCCTTACGTCAACTGGGCTAGTCAGGGGCAGCCTCTGGCTGTCGTGGCTCACAGTGATTTGGGGCATGAACATCTTAGTTAACTCTTTCACTGGGGTAAATAACTCTATGCTTGACACTCGTTCCATATCCTTGCATCGCCTTTTCCTGAACTCCTTCTTGCTTTTCCGGACGCTTTTCCTGACGGCATTCACGAGAGCGATATCAAGACATGGCGATACAATTAATACCTGCTCTTTACTACTCCCCATGTGCTACTATTACAAACATGATATTATTAATTTATTATGTAGTAATATCATTTCAGAATCTGCCCCAAGTCTCGAATAAATGATTTGGATGGTGGGGCTAAGTCATCAAAGCCCTCAGGTGCTACCCACAAACAATGGTAGGCGGCGGCACTGGCACTGTTACTTACTATGGAGGAACGTTGAGACGGCCTGAAGAACGTTTTTGTATTGAAGCTGCCCAAGAAGCTATAGTAAAACAGAAATACACATCAAATCGAAACACACATGCACGTATACACATGTGCTCGCATGCACACACACACACACACACACACACACACACACACACACACACACATACACACACACATACATACATGTACACACACACACACACACACACACACACACACACATACACACACACACACACACACACACATACACACACACACACACACACATACACACACACACACACACACATACACACACACACACATACATGTACACACACACACACACACACACATACACACACACACACAAAACAAGGCTGTGCATTCCGCTAGGGCTGTGCGTAGAAGTAGTATTAACAGAACATGGACAGAACATGGACAGAACATGGACAGAATATCGAGGTCAAGCCAGTAACAGAATATCGAGGTCAAGCCAGTAACAGAATATCGAGGTCAAGCCAGTAACAGAATATCGAGGTCAAGCCAGTAACAGAATATCGAGGTCAAGCCAGTAACAGAATATCGAGGTCAAGCCAGTAACAGAATATCGAGGTCAAGCCAGTAACAGAATATCGAGGTCAAGCCAGTAACAGAATATCGAGGTCAAGCCAGTAACAGAATATCGAGGTCAAGCCAGTAACAGAATATCGAGGTCAAGCCAGTAACAGAATATCGAGGTCAAGCCAGTAACAGAATATCGAGGTCAAGCCAGTAACAGAATATCGAGGTCAAGCCAGTAACAGAATATCGAGGTCAAGCCAGTAACAGAATATCGAGGTCAAGCCAGTACGTCACCGTTATAAGCGGTGTTTAGTATGGAGTGGTGTCGCAAGCGCTGTTTCGTCACTCAATACAAAGCACATCAGCATGCAGTGTTGGCATTCTCATATATCTTGACTGTGCACAGAAATAATGCGTTATAAAACAGAGCACTAGCTTGATATAAAAATCATTGAAAGGAACTACAACGTACGCATGGGCTATACTTCACAATAGATGTCCACCCTGGCATTGCAACTTAAATACAGGTTAAAACTAAAAACCGTGTCAAGCGCACGGCTACACGCACGCTGCTACATTCCACCAGTGTGCACATGTCTCTGCTGCCAAGAAAGCTGTTCAATTGCAAACGTGTACATGCATCTGTGTGTGCCTTTGTGTGTGTGTGTGTGTGTGTGTGTCTGTGTCTGTGTGTGTGTGTGTGTGTGTGTGTGTGTGTGTGTGTGTTGCAGGCAAGTACATCACAAGGATCTTAGAATGTTCTAGATCTGCTAGCTGTAGCAGCCATAGCGTTGCCATCATTTAACTCCGGCATTGTGATGCATGGACAAGCAATAGACACATGCTGCTTGCAATATGACTAACGTAAGCATGACTGGAGGGTATGGCCCACAACCAAACGTCAGTAGTGACAATGAATAGTTTGAAAACTAGTTTTTTTCCGCAAACACAACGGTCACATGTCAGAAAACAGTCAGCACACAATAGCAACTATCACATAGCACAGCCATGTAGCTAGATAAAATAGAGGAAAATGTCAAGGATATTGAAAAACAATTCGCTCACTAAAGAAAGAAGAGCACAACAATGTACAACTGACTTTTGCCTAGAACTGAGGAATCCAGGATGAACACACTGCTCCTACGCCCAGTGACAGGAGAGCATGCAGCCTACAAACTTCACTACAGCATGTTAGAAACTCCGGTCGAAATGAGATAGTCCAGCACATGGCACTCCTGACTGTACAAATCGACAACAGAATGCCTGCGCACATGCAGCCTACAAACTTCACTGCAGCATGTTAGAAACTCCGGTCGAAATGAGACAGTCCAGCACATGGCACTCCTTGACTGTACAAATCGACAACAGAATGCCTGCGCACATGCACAGTACACCAGCCTGATAGTGTGAAAGTGTGTTATATACTCTGTAACTCAATATAGTATAAATAGCTACCAGTAGTTGCATTGCTGCACACAAGGTGGCATAAGCAAACTTGAATTACTCAGCTGGACGCACCAGTCCAATCGGTTGTATCAGCTGTATACTCGTACAAATGTCTTCCGTACCTGATACGGAAGCTGGCTGGATCTGGACACAGCTACTAGCCCAGGCCAAAGAGTGACCACATAGCTAGGCTACAAGCACAACCGCTGAGCATACTCACAAAAACAGTGTGTTGCGACATGTTGCTATGTGCCATTATCTGCATCACTGTCCTCACTTTCTCCTTCGTAATGGTAGTCATCTTCATCATCATCATCATCATCATCATCCTCACTCTCACCTTCTTTGAAAATTTTCACAGGAAACTGTTCAGGCTTGTCTCCGATGGCAGCTCGCTTGTGCTTGGCTATCTCCCAAGCCCACAAGAGGTCGTCTTTCCAAATCTCTGGATCAGCTGGATGCAAGTGCACGGCCTTCTGGAAATTAGTCAGCGCCAACTCCACCTCTCCTATGTCCATTTGTGCTCTGCCTAGTCGTTGGCGTGCCACATACCACACAGGATCCAAACGACACGACTCTTCAGCACTATGTACTGATGGAAATCTCTCTCCGACAGCAGAATAAGCTTGTGATTTCAACTCGTGAAGAGTTGCATCGTCAGGAGTAAGCACGAGAGCTTCATCCCAACGCTTAATAGCTTCCCAGTAGCGTTCCTCCTCAGCAAAGGTATTGCCTTCATCTTTCAAACGTTCGCTTTTCATTTTACTGTCCTCCAGGAAAACTCCATGCTTGCGTTTTGAAGCTGTAAGCCAGTCCACGTCGTCATCGACTCGCTCGCCACCTCCCAAAGACGCATCATCATCATCACCACCAAACGCCACTTGAGTTGTAGGTACCTTTGTCTTCTTCTTCCACCCAAATTGTGTAGACGCCATCGACACAACAAGAAACCTTGTCTTTGAGTTCGAAACTACTTTTCCAGAACAAAATATTTTTTTTCGGATCAAGAATCTTTCGCGCGGAATAGTCAAAACTTTTACCAAAAAATTACTTTCGGCAAGTTTCGCAATCTTTATTTTTACGCGGTACGCGGTCCGCATGCATATGCATAATCTTTATTTTTACGCGGTACGCGGTCCGCATGCATATGCATGCGCGTACCACGCCTTCGCGATCCTGGACCGTGGACGCTCCGCCGTCACGCTGTAGATAATTACGGAAAGTAGGAAGGACAACAGCTAGAATAATAATTATGGAACAGTACTCTCGTCCACATACAACAAAGAACAACCAAAACTGAAAACCAAAACTCAAGCAACTGCCAGAATGCATGCAACAGCGATTGCAAGCCAGACAGAGTGACCATGGTGACTACAGACTATAATAGAGAAGTACGTACATGTGCAACGGAGGTAACGCTTCCGACTCCGAGAGCTTCCGAAACAGCAGCGGATAAAACAATACATCAACACCACGTGTCACCTTGCGCTGCCGCAAACGGACACCTATGAATGCACAGTACATTGCACCGGTACCGCACAGTGCATGCATACATCTGTGCATGCACTGTGCATGCATACATCTGTGCACGGCGTAATAAATGCCGGACTGCATGTAATCCGACAACCGTCACCTCGCACCCTATGTACATGTAGTGCAGAGGCGCAGCCAACAAAAGAGCAGGGTGCCGACAAAAGAGCAGGGTGCCGACAAAAGAGCAGGGTGCCGACAAAAGAGCAGGGTGCCGACAAAAGGGGAGGGTGCGTGCACACTCCACTGAGTAGCACAGCAGTCATGATTCTATCACGCATCCGACACATACATGGACTATCAACTGAGTAATAAGAGTAAGAAACGTAACAGTTCAGCGATCCATAACCCGGACTCCCCAGATCCAGGCGATCCCATTTACCGCCGGGGCAGCTTTCTTACCCATCAGGTGTCACAAACCGGGCTTTTCAATGCAAAATGGCCCCACTTGAAATAGTACTGTCCCCACAGAATACCGCGGACAGAATCCTAACATGATGCGCATAATTATGCGGGCGAAAACAAGTCATTATGCGGCAATTTAAATATTCTGATGATGAGGTATAATGCAGTCATTATGCAAGGTTAATCTGTCATTGGGACAATATTAGCGTACAGTTTCATGCAAGTATACAGCTTTGGCGTACAAATCCATGGGTGTGTATGACTTTGTGCAGTGCTGGCCAAAGAAATCCAACCTCATGAATAAAATAGCGTTGCCGGGCGCTAAGCAGCCCTAGCACTACACATGCTGGTCCGTGCACTCTAACGCGGCGCTACTTTATTCATAAGGTTAGATTTCTTTGGCCAACACTGTAGTACATTTTCACCAACATGTCACGATTATCTTCTACATGTCACGATTATCTTCTACATTCCCATGGAATGTATATGGGAATGTTTTTCTCGGCAAAAGTTTCTAGAAAACGCAGATGGAAGCCAATAACGAGGAAAATTGCGCGTACGCGGAATCACGTCATCCTGCGAGAAGTGTTTACTTGCCTGAACGGAAAACAGTTGGACACAAGTTTTATATTACACTCCGCCAACTAGACCAGATTTGGATCAAGTCTAGTCAATTCTGCTGCCGCGATGTTGTTCATTCACATGTCAATAGGTGTGTGTGTGTGTGTGTGTGTGTGTGTGTGTGTGTGTGTGTGTGCGTGTGTGTGTGCGTGTGTGTGTGTGTGTGTGTGTGCATGTGTGCGTTCCTGTGCTGTACGGTGTGTGTGTGTGTGCGCGTGCGTGTGTATGTGTGTGCTTTTCTGCGTGTGTGTGTGTGTGTGTGTGTGCCTCTCTCTCACTCTCTCTCTCTCTCTCTCTCTCTCTCTCTCTCTCTCTCCGGTTTGCACACGTCCAACAAAACTTCCTGTGACCATCAGTACAGTCAAACACAAGAGGCCTCGACTATCGAAACAAAAACCATAGCCAGCGCACGCACATGGACCGAAAGTTCATACTATGCGCTGATTTGTTCAAATCACGCTTGAAAATAGTTGGTCTTCATGAAAGTTCACTGTACAGCAGTTCATCGTAAACGAATAATTTTGACTTGATTTGATGCCTGGTCAACAGTGGGATAGGCCCTAGTCAGTACCAATGGAAAGGTCGCCTTTTCAGCGTTTGTTCTAAAAAAAGGTTTGACTGTATCCCTTCATGGATTTGCTCCTTTTTGCATGTTGCTGTATGCATGTGAGTTGGGTGGATGTGACTGAAAGGATACTCTCCAACATGCATTATCGTTAGACAACTTCTACAATATATACGAGTATACACATGACCTTAATTAAGCTCCGCTGATCAAGACAACAAAACATGTGACCAAGAAAGCCAGCTGTTCGGATATTGAGGCTAATACTTCTCATCTATGTATGGATGAGAACGCCAATAACAGTTACTTTCGCCTAAACATCTCTTTAATTCTTGCCTTTATCTAGGGGTGAAACAGCTGACCCAAATTCCTTATCGACTAGATTCAATCCTATCGACTGACTATCGACTGGTTATCGACTGACATTGCCCTCACAGATAAACACAAGCACAGCAGACTGACATTGCCCTCACAGATGAACACAAGCACAGCACACTGGCATTGCCCTCACAGATGAACACAAGCACAGCACATTTACGCCGATACATACAAGCACATGCACGGTCAGACACCCATGCACAAGCACAAGCACACAGAAACGAAATATGAGCACATTGATCATTGTACTTTGAAGTAGGTTTCACCAAAGCTAGGCATTTCCCAAATCGGCCGGCCGAAAAATTCGCCGAAAACTGTGGTTTTGAAGAAATCACCGATCTTTTCGCCGAATATGCAATTTTCGCACTGAATTCGCCGAAAATCGATGTTTTTGTGCTTCAGCAGTATGCAAACACAATCCTTGTAACCATTATACTGCGAGAGGTGACTGCGACTTTAGGCATTACCGAAATCGGTCAGCAGGAAAAGACGACGAAATCTATGGCTGTGAAGAAATCGCTGATAATTGCGCCGAATTTGCAAATTTCGCACTGAATTCGCCGAAAATCGATGTTACAGTGCCTCTAAAGCATGCATGTAAATACACACTGTCTTATGAGCGGTAAATTCAACTACATGTACTTATTTGAGCCGAATTCTGACTTTGGGGCTCATAATATGGCCGGATTTGGACATTCTCTTATCCGATCGAAAAGCCGATTAGGCGAAAAAATCGGGCCGATTTGGGAAATGCTTAAAGGGGAAGTTAAGGCAAAAATTAAAATTTCACCAGTTGTAGTCTTCGGGGTGCTAAGTCGAATGGTCTTGGTCCGAGAAAGCTGAGACGCTCCCTTCCTACTTGAATCCCAATCGAACTCGCGCACTTCCACCGAAACTGGGTGACTGCGCCCTACTAGATGGGGATTTGTATGCAAAATGTCACTAAAAGCGCCATTTCGTTCTTATAAAAGCACGGATGACCGCGATTGGCCCATATGTTGTAGTCTTTTGGACGCTGAGTCGACTGGTTTTGGTCCGAAAAGGCTGCGATGCAGCGTGCCTCCTTTATTCCCAATCGAACATGGTTGAACAAGTGGTCACGTGCTCCTGGGTGCCTAAATCACCTGGTCACCACGCCAGCAGGCGACAACTTACTAGCCTGTTTGACCTTTTTTGGGTGCAGTCCTGTCACTCGAGTTGAACTCGAGTTGAACCTAGGTGTGAAAGTTGTCGCCTGCTGGCGTGGTGACCAGGTGATTTGGGCACCCAGGAGCACGTGACCACTTGTTCAACCATGTTCGATTGGGAATAAAGGAGGAACGCTGCATCGCAGCCTTTTCGGACCAAAACCAGTCGACTCAGCGTCCAAAAGACTACAACATATGGGCCAATCGCGGTCATCTGTGCTTTTATAAGAACGAAATGGCGCTTTTAGTGACATTTTGCATACAAATCCCCATCTAGTAGGGCGCAGTCACCCAGTTTCGGTGGAAGTGCGCGAGTTCGATTGGGATTCAAGTAGGAAGGGAGCGTCTCAGCTTTCTCGGACCAAGACCATTCGACTCAGCACCCCGAAGACTACAACTGGTGAAATTTTAATTTTTGCCTTAACTTCCCCTTTAACCAAAGCACAATATGAGCACATTGCAGTTTCAACATTCCAATGGAGTGAATGGATCCATGCGGCATGTACATCTGGGTAGTTATACATGTACTGTAAATATACAAATTTTCGGCAGCTATTTAATTTCGGCTATATTCGGCACCGACCCAAAACGCCTAAATTAAAACGCCGATGAAATTTTTCACATCATCTGTCGCACTATACCATGCCCTCTACCCACGCCGAAAATAAATCACCGCCGAAATGTCAAAAATCGGGAAGTGCCGAAATTTTGCAGCGCCGAAATTTTGTATATTTACAGTAGATGTGTGTTTTTTAACATTATCATATGTACGAGTTGATAAGGGTTTACAATCATATGTACGAGTTGATAAGGGTTTACAATCATATGTACGAGTTGATAAGGGTTTACAATCATATGTACGAGTTGATAAGGGTTTACAATCATATGTACGAGTTGATAAGGGTTTACAATCATATGTACGAGTTGATAAGGGTTTACAATCATATGTACGAGTTGATAAGGGTTTTCAATCATATGTACGAGTTGATAAGGGTTTACAATCATATGTACGAGTTGATAAGGGTTTACAATCATATGTACGAGTTGATAAGGGTTTTCAATCATATGTACGAGTTGATAAGGGTTTTCAATAATATGTACGAGTTGATAAGGGTTTACAATCATATGTACGAGTTGATAAGGGTTTTCAATCATATGTACGAGTTGATAAGGGTTTACAATCATATGTACGAGTTGATAAGGGTTTTCAATCATATGTACGAGTTGATAAGGGTTTTCAATCATATGTACGAGTTGATAAGGGTTTACAATCATATGTACGAGTTGATAAGGGTTTACAATCATATGTACGAGTTGATAAGGGTTTACAATCATATGTACGAGTTGATAAGGGTTTACAATCATATGTACGAGTTGATAAGGGTTTACAATCATATGTACGAGTTGATAAGGGTTTTCCTTCTGTCAACTCAACCTTATCGACTGGCCAGTCGACTTAACGACTCAGTCGTTTCACCCCTACTTTTATCCCATCAATCCCTCATATAATATTATCTAAACTTTTTTGAACAAACGGCGAGGAGACAACAATTTGATAACCGCAATCAGTAATACAAGCTGGATCGACATTTGTGTACACTGTATTCATGTATTGTAAAACTGTGGAGACAATGTGCAATAAAACGAACTTTTTTATTATTATTTTCTCAACCCACACCCCTCTACTCTGTTACCGGCCCTCTTTTAAATGTTGTGTTCATCACTGTTGGGGCTTCCGATGAAAAAAACTACTTTGTAGTGCATGTTGTCACGTAGCATAACGGCCCATTCATAGTGTGTGAACATCTGAACGAACTGAGAATTGTCCAAGCTGACAACAATCAATCCACTCCTTACAGCAAACCGGGAGAGAAGTATTGTTTGCAAGCAGCATACCAATGTGATGGACGTGCACGTGTCACAATACTCAATAGTGCTGGCATGAGTATCACCATGCACTATAGGCCTACCGGTAGTCTTGCCATACCTGTTCAACGTGTTCACTTTTACGGGAGCAGCTCTGTAGAAAGGTCGCTGGGAACCTTCGTATGCAGACGTCAACATCGGATTTCTGACACCAAGTTTCTGCAGCACCTTTTCAGATAGATTCATCTCGCCTTGCGAATATCTCTGAACCAGCATGGATAACAGAATCAGCAGGCAAAGGGAACTTTGATGATAATCTCAAAGTAAGCTGTGTATAAACCTGACTGAAACTGTCCAATTATAATCTCTCAATCTCGAGACAACTAGCAATCTCTACCTTGCTAGAGCTCATCAGTGGAGCTCATAGTGGCTGACTGAGCTAGTCATAATGTCGCAAAAAGTTGTCAAATGCATGTAGCGTGGAATTCATGTGTTTAATGATGTAATGAACGACAAGCTCCAGGAACGATTATCAATCGGCCAACTCAACAACTCAACAACTCAACAACTCAACGAACGCCGCATGAACAAATAATCTACTATTCTCCATTATACACAACACGGTAATGCCATTTGAAAACGTCACTTGTGCTTTGCAAAACCATCCTATTCTCCCAGGTGCTATTGCTCTCCCCTGCCATTGCCCAAGCACTGCTCACTCAGGTGGGATTACCCTCACAGCCGAGTGTCGATTCCCCTATACTGTAAATATACAAATTTTCGGCAGCTATTTAATTTCGGCTATATTCGGCACCGACCCAAAACGCCTAAATTAAAACGCCGATGAAATTTTTCACAGCATCTTTCGCACTATACCATGCCCTCTACCCCACGCCGAAAATAAATCGCCGCCGAAATGTCAAAAATCGTGAAGTGCCGAAATTTTGCAGCGCCGAAATTTTGTATATTTACAGTAATACCTTTTGAAAGGATTGGGAAAACTCAAAGGATCAGTCGGGGAAGTGAACTGCCGGAAAAGAGAAAAAATGCCAGACCTACCAGGACTCGCACCCGGGACCTAGTGGAGGAGGGAATAAGACCAAAGTACCATCAGTATGTGTGGCACGTGTTGCGAGCTTCCTATGGTGTGAAAAACTTGCTAGCGCCTTCTAGGTCCAGCCTGGTCCCATAGCTCAGATGGTTTGAGCATTGCTCATGACAAGCAAGGTCCCGGGTTCACGTCCAGGAGGGTCTGGCATTTGTTTTCTCTTTTCAGGCAGTTCACTTCCGCGGCTGACCCTTTAAATAACTGATAACTTCTGGGTTAAGGGGCCATCCGTAAATATGGATATTTATTTAGAAACGAAAAATAGTCGTTTAGGGGGAAGGGGGTTTAGCGCTTGTTCGTTTCTCGAAAAATATCGATGCACAGTTTGTATGTGTGGGTACGTCCAGAAAAGAAAAGAAAAAATCGATGCTATGCATCGTTTGTATGTGTTCGTTTCTGAGGGAGGGGGGTTGAAGAGAAACGACTAGTTTTCGTTTCTAAATAAATATCGGTATTTACGGATGGCCCCTAAATTGGATCCACTCTGCCTATAGTAAAGTGCAGTCTGTGGTGGGTAGGTCTCTCGTGCCGCACACAAGTGTGACGTTTTCTGTACCAGCAGTTGCTCTCGGCCAGGACCTAGTCCAGCCACTCCTGGCAAATGTGTCACCCTGCTGTGATAGAAGAACACCCAAGCATGTATGGATACCGTGATACAAAACTGGATCCAAGTGGATCGAAAAGTCAGCAGTATCATGACTCCAGGCTGGCTGTGACACAGCACTATCAAGCCCTGCTGTGTATGCACATAGCAGAACACATTGAATCATGTATCCACAAGTAATTGTGCTCTATATATACAGCAGCGTTCTCACGGTCCCATTTTAAACTCCAAACATGAACTTCAATTGGCATGCGTCACTTCCTATCACACACAGTCGTACCATCCTCACAGTCGTCTGAGTGACATAACCGGTCCTGAGACCGCTTTGAGTGCCGCTTCAAGTCCATATCAGTCTCAAACGGCAGTGCAATGGAGTGGATGAATGCGGTTACTCACTGCTATAGGCATCTTCAAGTGCAGTGACTCTGCAACTCTCAGCAATACTCCGAACGGTGCATGGAGAAGAACAAACTTCAATCTTGGATTATTGATACTGGGCTCCTGCAGAATAAAACATATCGCACCAATAGAGAGACAGATAATACGACAGGATTCCTCTTGACAGGGAGGACCGTTTGACCCAAAACGCATGTCACATTGATCAATGTGACGTCATCATCAACGTTTGTGCAAGGAAAAAGCAAGCATAGTTACAACATGAGGGGTTTCATTTGTTTTCCATTGATTTTGACGATTATTTCCATGAGCCGGTACTCTTGAGTTCAGTGGAGTTTTTGTTATTCTCTCTCCCCAAACATCCTCTTGGCAATTCAGTGCTTTTTTCTCTTCAGAGTGCATTGACAAGAAATGAAACCAGCAACTAGTGATAAACAGAGGGTGGAGGAACTATTGAGCCGATGGTGACGGAAATCTAGACTGAACAAACTTAGTTTTTTCAGTCCATTGCCAGTGAACCTTTTCGTGTAGAACAGGACAGCGGCTGCGGGACCGGGACGGTAGATCGACACAAGAAGACGGAGAGTGGCATGTAACAGTCAACACGATCATAACTCACTTCAAATGTCGATCTGTTTTCAGGTTTGAACTTTCGCTCACGCCTGACCACTGACAACTGTCGAGTCAACCTGGAACGAATTCAACCTGGCAAGGAAGATCGAAGATGCCTGAGACACCAGATTGATTAAACTTGTGAATGGTTACGTGCAAGTGAAATATTGGTGCAAGTGTTGGAAGGGATGTAACGAAGTTTATTCGCTCTAGCAACAAGTCATGATGGTCATCGTTCACTTACTTCTGAGGACTGCCGCCCAAGTGGATCAATGTTCGAGCGTTCCCTTTCAATTATTGAGCGCCACAGGCAGTTCTAAACTCCTGTTGAGATTGCCTCCGCTCTAATAACCGACGTTCGTTTGACTCCCGTGCGTAATGCCAACTTTCGAAACTTCGCTTGACGGTGATGACGGAACTTGCGCCGACAACTAATCAAGTGGTTCGTGAGAGAGACAAGCCAGCGGCAAAGAGGTTCGATCGCAGAGCTGCAGACTTGCGTCGGCAGCAACGTTCTGACTCTCGTCAGAACTGATCTCAACGATGTAGCAGGTACGGTACAAAGTACTCATACTGGCCGGTTTAAATTTGAATTTTATGAACTGTGAATTACCGGTGCTAATTTTCGGTGCAGAGGGTATCATCTGTGCTCGTTAAGGACTTTGAAATGTGTGTACTGCTGTTCGTACCTACTTCGAATTATCAAACTCGTTTGTATGAATGATATACAGGCGGAAATTGGTGAATGGAAAGTGTTCGAAACAGGCAGGACCTTCGAATCACACCACATTCGAATTATCAGTATTCTATTAAATGTACATTATTTTGCTCTCTTTTGATTCTGAAAGTCAAATCACAAATGTTACTCCTAAAGTACTTACAACATGGGTTACGAGACCTTCACTCCTCAACCGAGCTTGAAAGTGTCCCCGGGCGTTCGCCCTTTCCCGCTCTTCCTCCTCGTCGTCCTCAACATCATCATGCAGCCCACTTTCCCATGCTAGAACAAAGTCTGCAATAATAGCATTATTAGAATGTAACACATAAGAATAGTCATCATTCACACAACCATGCTATCTAGTATAGCTCTGAGAAGGGACAAAAGGACATAATTATCAAAAATTCAAAATCCCCTCGATCTCCACTTTTATCAATAGTCAACAAATTATTCGATCCTCTTATGGAGGACTTTTCACAGTTGAAATGTGCAATTCCTCAGGCATATGCAACACGTACATTGAGCTGCAATGGACGAAAGTGCATTGGAATTCCACACAAACAGTTTTCAAAAGTTCTGATGGTATTCCGTACGGATAGTACTACATACATGTACATGAATACAGCAAAAATAGAACCTTCCACACAGGCCGCATATGCCATATACAAGTCTGTAGCTCTGTACCCAATCCACTTCTGAAACTGCACATTGGTCAGTAGGCGTGTAGTACCCGGTATTCGCACGATTAGGAAGCACATATGTTGTGTATGACCATCAGAATCCTGTTGGCAATACAAATCGACTGTACATGCATGTACAAAAACTTTAAGTCTACATTGCTCTTACCTATGGGGGGCATGGAAATCTACAGTCACTACGCTCACAACGAATACTACAGTAACAAGCTACAGAAGCAGGAGAAACCTTTGGTTTAGAAACCAGCAAACAACAAAAAACCACGATGAAGGTCATCTTCCAGCGCACGCTTTGCGCATGCTTTGCACGACATGCGCCATATTTTCGGTAACGTCAACAACAACAAAACATTCCGCCGTGCACTAGACCAGCTGCGGAGTTGCTCACTCTTGTTTATGTACTCTTCCTTTAACCTATGCATGGGGGGGGGGGGGCACGTATGTCTACATTGCTCTTACCTATGAGGACCATGCGAGTCTACATTGCTCTTACCTATGAGGACCATGCGAGTCTACATTGCTCTTACCTATGAGGACCATGCGAGTCTACATTGCTCTTACCTATGAGAACCATACAAGTCTACATTAACTTACCTATGAGGACCATGCGAGTCTACATTGCTCTTACCTATGAGGACCATACGAGTCTACATTAACTTACCTATGAGGACCATGCGAGTCTACATTGCTCTTACCTATGAGGACCATACGAGTCTACATTGCTCTTACCTATGAGGACCATGCGAGTCTACATTGCTCTTACCTATGAGGACCATGCGAGTCTACATTAACTTACCTATGAGGACCATGCGAGTCTACATTGCTCTTACCTATGAGGACCATGCGAGTCTACATTGCTCTTACCTATGAGGACCATGCGAGTCTACATTGCTCTTACCTATGAGGACCATGCGAGTCTACATTAACTTACCTATGAGGACCATGCGAGTCTACATTGCTCTTACCTATGAGGACCATGCGAGTCTACATTGCTCTTACCTATGAGGACCATGCGAGTCTACATTAACTTACCTATGAGGACCATGCGAGTCTACATTGCTCTTACCTATGAGGACCATGCGAGTCTACATTGCTCTTACCTATGAGGACCATGCGAGTCTACATTGCTCTTACCTATGAGGACCATGCGAGTCTACATTAACTTACCTATGAGGACCATGCGAGTCTACATTGCTCTTAGCTATGAGGACCATACGAGTCTACATTGCTCTTACCTATGAGGACCATGCGAGTCTACATTGCTCTTACCTATGAGGACCATGCGAGTCTACATTGCTCTTACCTATGAGGACCATGCGAGTCTACATTGCTCTTACCTATGAGGACCATGCGAGTCTACATTGCTCTTACCTATGAGGACCATGCGAGTCTACATTGCTCTTACCTATGAGGACCATGCGAGTTTACATTGCTCTTACCTATGAGGACCATGCGAGTCTACATTAACTTACCTATGAGGACCATACGAGTCTACATTGCTCTTACCTATGAGGACCATGCGAGTCTACATTGCTCTTACCTATGAGGACCATGCGAGTCTACATTGCTCTTACCTATGAGGACCATGCGAGTCTACATTAACTTACCTATGAGGACCATGCGAGTCTACATTGCTCTTACCTATGAGGACCATGCGAGTCTACATTGCTCTTACCTATGGGATCACCAGACAGTGGTAAGTACTGAACACCAGCCTCCTGGTTGCCTGGGTCGAAACGTCGTTGTCTTGACTGGCAATAGTCGCACATGCATGGACAAGAGGAGAGAATGAAAAGTCAACTAATGATAACAGAACCCTAACACTGATAGGATGGTTAGAGATCATTACGCAGCCGATGCTATCAATGCATTCCATTTGTTCTTACCAAAGTGCAATTTGTTTTCTAGAAAACGATCGAACCTCTGAAGGCTAAGGAGTAAGGTGTCGGACACGCGAGTTCTGGAGAAATGCATGCAAGTACAAGGTACAGTGCGTATCGGTTATAGTGTGGTCATATACAAGAATATACTGCCTACAAGAATGAACACTCATTTTTTCATAATCATAACACATATTTTATCTTGACTAGTGTGAGAGAAAGACACAAACGGGAAAAGTGTATGTGTATATTTATTCTTACAAGCAGTATTATCGCATAGTAGAATATATCGGCCCTAAGAAAGGATTTTGTGCAGCAAAATATGCCAGATTAGTGCAAAGTGTATCGCCTGTAGTAATAACATCTGTGCTCTGTGCATACTCAATACAATAATAGTCAACACAAAAAGAGAGTTACCGTATTTTTCCGGTTATAAGTCGACCTTTTACGACTGAAAATAGCAGGAGAAAAGGTGGGGGTCGACTTACAACCGGGATTCGACTTATATAGTTATAACCGGGAATTATCGGTATCTTCCAAAAATGACCTGCACTAAATACACGAGTGCACCATGTGTATGCATTTTTGCCAAGTTTATTTGCCTTTTTCAAGGATTGGGATGTTTCAGAATCCAATGAGGAGTGTTTATGTGATTTGTTCATGTGTTAGTAGCAGGGAGCGGTTAGCAGTGCTTCGTTGGGCAAACACTTTAAAAACATAATTAAGACCTCCGGATACGGGGGGTCGACCTATAACCGGGGTCGACTTATAACCGGTAAAATACGGTATGTCCAAGGGAGCATTGGAGAATCACTTTTTCTGTCCAGTCGGACTCTTTCTTCCGACTTATCTCGTATCTGCTCCTTCGCAGTCGCCTAGCACGACCGCGAGTCTGATCCGTGTGTATCATGTGTAGACTCTGTGTCCACATGCCGAACGTGCGCGCAATGCGCGCATATGATATGTCACACGTGATTTATCGTGTGTAAGAAATATCAGCAATAAGAATCAAATGTCGTTTTTCAAACACCCACGCTATAACCGATACCTACTGTACTGTCTGTACATGTCATTGTGTTCATGCACTGATGACATGATCAATGCCCGCCCGTAATGTGCTGGACACTGTTCTCCTGTTAGGCGTAGTCGTCATACCCGTGTTTATGTTCTCTATTTTATCTTTTACTTGCAAAAACATAACAGCCGTACTGTACTGAAAATCAAGAAGAGCAGACGACCGAAAAAAACCAGTCATGAGGCATTGTGGCCATCCCCTGATTCGAGTGTCGCCATGGACTCACCATTTTCCATCTTCTCCGCCAAAGGGGTTCTTGATCTGCGTCAATTTCTTTCTCTGAGTGCCATAACATCCATTCCTCCTGTCCTGCCGTCGCTGCTTTTCTATACACCTCCCGAACTACTTCTGGATGTATGTCCTTGTCTGCAGCAGCTAATTGCGCCTCAGTCGATTCCGACCTCTCTCTTCGACCATAGCGGCCGGCCGTCACCCAGCGAAGCACACGAGTAGCGGTAGACTCGCCTTCGCTGCCCGAGGACTCAGTCTCTCCTTTCGGGACAAGTTTATAGGCCTTCTTCCTCGGTGGCATGATAATTATTATAGCTACGGCGCGCCCTTTAGTTTAGGTAGTGCATGAAATAATTCTCGGCCAGCTTCAAAACTTGAGATGAAAACTATGATCACACTGTACCACTGCCAGTACTGGGGCAGTCGACAGCACTCAAATGCTGGTAATTCTCCGCTGATTTTTCCTTCACTACCTGCTTGAGAAGTTGAGTATTCACTGACATGATACGGATAGTCGGGTGAAGCAGAGCAACCGACGCGCTGCACGCGCTGGGTCACCGAGAACATGATTGTACAGATCCTTCAGTGACAGTGTTTGCTCTCCCCTACTGGCCCTAGCCCTGCCTACGTACACTATGTACACTGTACAGTCATGCTTTGCGGTATCCAAGGGACGACATGCGACAGCGAGGATCGCTTGATCTTTCCGTGCTCTGAAAGCATGCCAAGTCTACAAGTACAACACAATCATGTCTACATGTGGTAACAATTTTTCCCGTATTTCACGTGATTGTCGTCTTGGAGTCGACCAATGACAGATCAAATTGCGCGGGCTGGAAAGCGAGGTCCTGCCAGCTCAAAGACTGGATCTACTGCCCGTCGTCAAGTGACGACAGGCAGGAACGGATTCCACTGCTAAGAAATCCCCTACTACTAGTCCCTACCGCGTCAAGCACCAGACGCCATTCTCCGCAGTTTCCCGTATTGTGCTGTGGAATTTCCTGCCGCCAGCTTTTCTAATTCTATACAATGTATTCTAGGTCTCCGCCCCAACTCGCAAAAATCTTCAAAAGTTAAATGCAACGTCAACGAATACCTGCGCCGACAGGATTGGCGCTGGTCCACGGACATTTTGCCTGTCGACCCACCTATAGTCTGTTTCAAAAAGATTTACAATCAGGTTTGGGTCTTAAAAAGTATGAAGATAAGGGAAATTTGGACAACAAAGTACATAGAATGGCTTGTTAGGACACGGCAAATTGTTCTGTGAAGGTTTCGGATTAGACCAATCCCGAAAAGATTGTCTGGGTTCGAAAGGGGGCATGTCAACTGAGAGTACACTGTACAACATATACATGGCACTACCTGATCAGCATGCGGCACTGGACGTGTTTGATAGTTCGCGTGTGAATGCGAGGGTAAGTACACGGTTTTCTCGTTAGTTGCATGCAAGAGAGACGATGCGACAGAAAGCAAAGCCCTTTGTAGTTTTCTCTCTCGCACTGGTAATGGTCTGCTGTTGGAGTTGAAATGCTAAGACATAATCCTTGTTTCGCTCTTCTGGGTAGTGTGAAGAGGTCAACGAACATGTAGAGCTCACTTTGATGAAGTAGGCAAGGCTGTGAGCGCTGTGGCTCAAAGCGATAGGCACTAAATCTTACGAGATATTTCGAGTGCTATTGTTTGTTGCGAGCGCTTCGTCTTCGATGAGTTCTGCCTCTTTCCTGGCAGCTGCCCTCCTATAGGACCAACCACGAAGTGACTGTACTCATCTGCAGCCGATCAGTGTTATATTGTACAAGAATATATCGTTTTCGCCAAGCCAGTGCCCCGCCAAAGACCATCGCCGTGTCACACCGTCGGAACGAGTTCATGATGAGAAACATCATTCGCGCGAGCGTGATGAAGAACTATTTCGAAAGACAACATAGTCTTTACCCCCGAGACGACAACTATGCGCACGTCCTGCAAGGGGAGAATGTCACCAGGGACATCAACGAAGACGACGGCAGTATTTCGGAAACCTGGAGTCAGCGGAGGTCGTCAAGCTCCTCCGCGACCCGGTACATGTACAGTATAGGTGACATGTCGACACGAGCTTGCGGAAACACAGCATACACTGTAGTAATATTGCGAGAGTTTGCGGAAGGAGTCCAAGTCGGGAAATCCATCAGCTCCAAAAGCTACCTGTAGGTGGGCGATGAGAGTCCAGCTTCAGGCTACAACAGTCAGGACTTGTAAATAGTTGAACTTTGTGAAGCGGCAGATCGAGTTAGTTAGCTGAAATCGTAGCCTGTTGCAGTATGTCGGCGCTATGTAGCTTGCATTTTTTACGGAGAGTCCATCGCCACGCGAATGTTTCTCTCCTCACCGAGAGCTTGCTGGCCTCCAAACTCCGTCAGGGTCTGCCTAAGGTACCGAAGGTCCTTTGACTAGCTGCTGGCAGGACTCCATCAAATCCTTTAGCTTCAGCTCGGCGAGCAAAAGTCTCTCTCTCTCCTCCGCCATGAGCTGACACACACAAACTGAATACAAAACGATGCACTTCACACGTGCTGGCTTGTACGCGTGCCCCCTTTCACGAACCCAGACAATCTTGGTCTAACCAACCGTTAACATGGTTAAAGGGGAACTCCACGAAAAAATGAAAATTTGATAGCCTGTAGAGTTTCGGGCGCTGAGTCGAATGGTCTTGGTCCGAAGTCTCTACGAGAAAGCGTTCTTGAGATATTTCAATTTTAGCCACGCCCCATACCAATGTATGTGTGACGTCATTGTGGCAATGTGCGAAAATACTTGGATTTTGAATCTTACTTTCTTCAGGACGAAAGTCACTTCAGAAAGTAGTTTGCCAAGTCGCCTGAGCCGCTGCAATGCCAAATTGTTGTGTTGTTGATTGTGCCAGTATCACATCATCCTCCTGGGGTTAGTTTTCTCAAATTCCCAAAGGATGGAGACCTGGCAAAGCGCCGAGATGTTGCAATGCGTCGTGAAAATTTCAAGCCTATTTTCGCAGCACGAGCTATGTTTGCTCGCTGCATTTATGATCCAGAGGGACTTGAGAGCTGAGTTTTGACGAGTACGCCGTCCAGGAAAGCCCTCATCAGTGTACCAGTGCCCTCCGAACCGTGAGCCTCCAGCAAAGCGAACTCTACAAGCTGCAACTGAGAAAGCAGGGCGAGATACGTCCCATCAGGATCAGAAGAGTACATCACCCCATCAACTCCGACTGCAGCTAGCTGATGAACGATATTACCCCAGTAACTTTGCGTATACCAGTACTCAAACTGTGCACATCTGTCATCAACTGGGACGCAAACAGACAGACCCCCAGCAAGTACGAAGGTTACAGAACTGTTTGCTTGCGATGTGCAGGCAGCATGCACGACGAACTGTCTCACCAATCCTGCCAAACTGAACCAGTGTAAGTTGATTGCGTGGATATGTCTCTATTTATAACAGCTACCCTACTTCTAGGCATGGTTGCATGAATACCATATCACTCAGAGCAGTTGTTAGAAGTCTGGACAGCCTTGGAATAGTGCAAGTAAAGTGAAACAAAAATATATTACACTCCGAGTTCCACGCTTGCGGGATCACCAGGCCAAAAAAAATCTAATTTCGAACAAGGAATGGGTTCTGGTTGTATGCGAAAGAAAAGTAAGTGAAGACCTATTGTGCAAGGAATACAGTGGGAACTACACATATTATACACATGCACTCACACCATCACCCACATGCGCGCGCGTGCGTGTGCGTGCACACACACAAACACAACAACACACACACATACTCAAACTCACTCGCACGCACGCTAGCCTAAGGATAGTACATATGCTGTAGTAGTGGTATACTTAGTGAAATGACTATGTGTACATCTAATGACGCCGCCACTCCACGCCAGAAGACAACAAACATCTGCTGCAACATTTTTGCTCCCGTCTCTTATGGGCAACACAGGGAATGAAACAAACAATGCAATTGAGAACAAGAGTCGTCCTGTACGGTGAAGTTTCCATTTTCTCATACAGCAGTATATTGTCTAAGCAAGTGTGTTTTCTCCACATTCTTTTTGCCATGCAGGTATATCACAGTGTCATGCCAAACTACATTCTCAAACGCATTCGTTTCTCAATTCTGGGGATGATTGGACACGCACATCTCGCAGCTCTTGACGACGTCAATGTCAACCGTCGCCACGGCACAACCAAAAAGACCGCGATAGGAAGGTATAAAGTCCAGTTCTCAAAGCATAAAGAAGACTGTGGCCAAATAGAAAATTATACGACAGAAAGAGCTATGAGTATGTTGACAAGCTCATGTGTGAGGTGGTAGCGGTTGCAAATGGCAACCTCCATGTTCCTGCCTTGGAGAAGCGTGTTTCCCTGCCAAATTCCAGGTGGAAGCCTCCTGAGAAGGCTGAGGTGGTGCAGGATTTGGATATCTTTGCCTGATGGTATTCACAACGCAGGCTGGAAGACGACAACGAACGTGCTTGCCCAATTTGCCGTGTACATAGTGTGTACTGCCTGTGTGCCGCATAGCGTAGAGATCTACACAAACACAGAATGTCATATGGAATGTGTATGATGAGTGCTTGTACACATACCACATTGCTGTACCGTAATAATTATTATAGTCAAATACTCATTTACTCTACATATGCGCTGTATTGCACCTACCGGTACCTACCTGCACTTTCAGTGCGCGCGCCATACTAATTTAGTGTCCACTGGTACAAAGATGGAGGGTCTTGTAGAATTTACCATAATTGCTGATTTCAAATTGAATTCCAATGATCTGGGGGATGAATACTGATTAGGACGCGTTCGATTACCTACTAGTACAGAGATGTCTTGGTCAGAAAGTACAGATTTCTTACTCTCCTGCCAGAATTTGTGCATTATTTTGGTGTACGCTTTCTTGACCCCACGCTTGTACGTTGCATGCCATGGTATACTAGAAAACGAGTTTATTGACAAAGTCTATCGCTTGAAACGATAAAGTATGGGTTCGGGTGTGATCAAAATTAATGCACCCATGGTGCTCATAAACTGTGTGCAGTGCTCTCTTCACCAACAGAACACTACCTACCATACTTTGTAGATCTTGTACCAATCCAAGGGAAAATGACAAAGACAAATGTGAGTCATGCATGAAAACTTGTGATAGCACGGTCTATAGTACAGAACAACGTTGTTCGTGCTATGCCTGACAACAATAATTAGTTACACACAAAACATTACGAGCATCGATCCTCACAAGATAAGTCAAGACATACTCGGAGCAAAGAGAAATTTGTTTGTGTCATGCATGAAACTTGTGATAACTACCAGTACAATGTCTTTCTTGTGCGACGCCTACTGTAGTGCGCCTGACAACAATAAATTTCCCCCAAAAAATAAGAATAAGTGTATCATGCTGATACGCGATCCTCACAAGACAGGTCAAGGCAAACTAATTGAGGCTTACCTAATGTCAGACTCTTCTGTCACTGGCATTGGCGGCTTCTGCATGTCGAGATAACCTCGAAGAGCAGTGATGAGCACAGCCTAATGCAAGGATACGATCTCGTAATCTGCGAGGTCCGCTACGCAAGAAACCTTGGGCCGTCTTGTCGACAGCGACGGCAGCATCCTACCAGCAAAATCATTCCCGCGGGCTGGGCATGGCTATACACTTTTGTCCACGCTCGCACCAGTCGGAGTCCCAAACGAATCGAGATTCTGGTGGCCAAGCTACTCGTCTTCTGTCGGACGCAGCTGCTGACGCATCTTCTTCCTCCACATTTGTTACACGCGATGGCAGCTCCTCAGCAGAGTATCTGGGCTCCCTGCCCCAACCATACGCGGCGGTGGGCTGTTGGTCGTCCTCACTGGCCTCAGCATCGCTGCCTTCATTGCTGGGGACAGAGGATTGTTCGGAATCGCCCATCTTCCCTTGAAATACCAACTAAAATTAGTGCTTGTAAGTTGTAGACTGGCGAAGAGAAACGACTTTGCCACAATGACGTAGGCAGCCCGTGATGATGTAACCAAATGGCCGCATGACGTCAGGGCGCGGCCCCCGTTTTTGCAATTTCAAAGTGAAATATCTCAAGAACGCTTCGTCGTAGAGACTTCGGACCAAGACCATTCGACTCAGCGCCCGAAACTCTACAGGCTATCGAAGTTTCATTTTTTCGTGGAGTTCCCCTTTAAAGGGGAAGTATACCCTAAAATCAAATTTTCACCAGTTGTAGTCTTCTGGGTGCTGAGTCGAATGGTCTTGGTCCGAGGAAGCTGCGACGCTCCCTTCCTACTTGAATCCCAATCGAACTCGCGCACTTCCACCGAAACTGGGTGACTGCGCCCTACTAGATGGGGATTTGTATGCAAAATGTCACTAAAAGCGCCATTTCGTTCTTATAAAAGCACGGATGACCGCGATTGGCCCATATGTTGTAGTCTTTTGGACGCTGAGTCGACTGGTTTTGGTCCGAAAAGGCTGCGATGCAGCGTTCCTCCTTTATTCCCAATCGAACATGGTTGAACAAGCGGTCACGTGCTCCTGGGTGCCCAAATCACCTGGTCACCGCGCCAGCAGGCGACAACTTTCACACCAAGGTTCAACTCGAGTTCAACTCGAGTGACAGGACTGCACCCAAAAAAGGTCAAACAGGCTAGTAAGTTGTACCCTGCAGGCACGGTGACCAGGTGACTGGTGTACGCAGGAGCACGTGACCGCCTGTTCAACCATGTTCGATTGGGAATAAAGGAGGAACGCTGCATCGCAGCCTTTTCGGACCAAAACCAGTCGACTCAGCGTCCAAAAGACTACAACATATGGGCCAATCGCGGTCATCCGTGCTTTTATAAGAACGAAATGGCGCTTTTAGTGACATTTTGCATACAAATCCCCATCTCGTAGGGCGCAGTCACCCAGTTTCGGTGGAAGTGCGCGAGTTCGATTGGGATTCAAGTAGGAAGGGAGCGCCTCAGCTTCCTCGGACCAAGACCATTCGACTCAGCACCCCGAAGACTACAACTGGTGAAAATTTGATTTTAGGGTATACTTCCCCTTTAAGGAGTTAGAATTTCGGCCAGGTTTCCGGCCTTTTCCCATGGTTTACAATTTGCCCAGGAAGCCAGTATCGATTTTTTTATCAAAACCCACGATTTATCCTTTCCTTTTTGGCCTTGTGGTTATGAATGCTGTCTGCTGACCATGAAGTTGTGAGTTCAAATCCCAACCTATCCTCAAGTCAAACTTTTTTTTCATTGTTTTGGTGATCAAGCTGGTGCAAGACAAAGAAGATGGCTGCACCAAACGACTTGTTGTTGGAGGTCGCGCTTCCTGCCGAACTGACTGACACTTGACTGGCTCACGCCATGTGAACACACCCACAACACTGCAATGGTGTGAGTGAATATGGAAGTCATCGCGCTGTAGCTTTTTGAGATTTATTTTTAGTATTTCAAGATCGCCAATTTATTTGAATTTAGCAGTCAACGCCGTCTTCTATCAACGTTCACAAGCGTCTGTTTTTCTCAAAATGTCGTCGAAGTCACACGGATAGCTTTGCCAAGTCATGGCTTTGGGAATGAGTCCGTGTCGATGTCGTTTTCGTCACACGGTGAGTAAATTGCATCGCAGCTCAAAGAAACTATTTTGGTCACAAAACGGATTGGGACACATGCCGCTCGTCAACATTTACAACACTTTCGTTTCGACATGTCCTCTCTGACTCCATTATCGATACGAGGAAGAACTCGTTTGTTGTAAACCAGACGTACGTCCATGACTGTGTCAACGTGAGTGAGTTGTCATTTTTCCTGCTTTCGCGCGGAATATTTCTTCGAGTTCACAGTGAGTTTTTCCAGGCAGCGCTCGAGTGCTCATACGGTAAGACGCCAAACTCCGAGGGCGATCGCCAGGGTTGTAAATCTTTTTGAAACGGACTGTAGTACTACATTCTACTACAGTGCATTTCAAAACTATAGACGCGTAGGGTTTTTGAAATATTTCAAATTTGGCTGGAACTTTTTGAGAATAGTTTTCGGAATATTGCTCAGGATCGCTCCACAATTACTCTCATATAGTTTCTAAAGGATTGGATAACAGACGCCCAATTTGGAAAATTTTATGCACAAAGTGATCACAGATTTTATGTGGTATAGATGCTGGCATAACGGTTTTTGCCTAGGTAGACCTACGCGTCTATAGTTTTGAAATGGACTGTATGCCCAATCAACGACTCCCATTGCGACGATGCTGCGCTGGCAGCGCTGCACACTGGCTGACAGTCTGCAGGTCTGTGCTGCACACTATCACACTTCTTTTTTTATTTTGCTGACCCGTAGATCTACCGGACTGTGGCGTACAGCTCTATCTTCTGTTTTTGGTGCGTGTTTTTGGCCGTGATGCCGAGACATCAGGTCGGCAGAGCCACCAATGCCCTACCATCACTGCTGCGTCTCGGTGCAGCCCCTACTCAGTAGTTGTTAAAGGGGAAGTTAAGGCAAAAATTAAAACCTCAGTTCCGATACTATTCACTGATGAGCGGAACACGAAAATCGATTTTGAATAACATAAAAATCCTTAAAAATTTCCATGAACTCGTTGTTGTCTGGCCATGTCTGCATCGATTATACTCCTAATTGCACTAATAAAATTGCTTTCTCCACGCCGACTCTTTAAAATTTCACCAGTTGTAGTTTTCGGGGTGCTGAGTCGAATGGTCTTGGTCCGAGAAAGCTGAGACGCTCCCTTCCTGCTTGAATCCCAATCGAACTCGCGCACTTCCACCGAAACTGGGTGACTGCGCCCTACTACATGTAGATGGGGATTTGTATGCAAAATGTCACTAAAAGCGCCGTTTCGTTCTTATAAAAGCACGGATGACCGCGATTGGCCCATATGTTGTAGTCTTTTGGATGCTGAATCGACTGGTTTTGGTCCGAAAAGGCTGCGATGCAGCGTTCCTCCTTTATTCCCAATCGAACATGGTTGAACAAGTGGTCACGTGCTCCTGGGTGCCCAAATCACCTGGTCACACCGCCAGCAGGCGACAACTTTCACACCAAGGTTCAACTCGAGTTCAACTCGAGTGACAGGACTGCACCCAAAAAAGGTCAAACAGGCTAGTAAGTTGTACCCTGCAGGCACGGTGACCAGCTGACTGGTGTACGCAGGAGCACGTGACCGCTTGTTCAACCATGTTCGATTGGGAATAAAGGAGGAACGCTGCATCGCAGCCTTTTCGGACCAAAACCAGTCGACTCAGCGTCCAAAAGACTACAACATATGGGCCAATCGTGGTCATCCGTGCTTTTTATAAGAACGAAACGGCGCTTCTAGTGACATTTTGCATACAAATCCCCATCTACATGTAGTAGGGCGCAGTCACCCAGTTTCGGTGGAAGTGCGCGAGTTCGATTGGGATTCAAGTAGGAAGGGAGCGTCTCAGCTTTCTCGGACCAAGACCATTCGACTCAGCACCCCGAAGACTACAACTGGTGAAATTTTAATTTTTGCCCTAACTTCCCCTTTAATTAAGTTTGTCCTAGTCTCAGTACCATTGTCTTTCATTATTAATTTTACGAGTTGGGTATGTATATGTGGACAAAAAAAAACAAAAACAAAATTTCACGGTTCGCGTGAGACTCGGCCAAAGGCCCAGTTTTCCGCATCCGCAGGAACGCCACCACCCTCTTGGATCAAGGCGCAGATGCAGCTCCTAAGCGGTGGGAGGTGAGTAGATCAGACCCACCACAAAGTGGTCAAAGACCGAAATCCCATTCACTGCATCCATGTTTCCCTCGTGCCAGGCCACGAGTTCCCAATTAACTGTGGGTCGCAGCACGGCTGGAAAAAATCCTTCCGCTTCCAAGCAGGACTTGAACCTGGTACCCTCTGTTTCTCAATCATGGTCTTGATCTTAGACCATCCCACTATGCCTGCCTGGCTATGTGGACAAACCGTAGTAAACCGTAGTAAAAAAAAAAAAAACTGACATGATACAGGAACGGAATCCACTGCGTACATTGGCTCACGAACTAAAAGCGCCATTTCGTTCTTATAAAAGCACGGATGACCGCGATTGGCCCATATGTTGTAGTCTTTTGGACGCTGAGTCGACTGGTTTTGGTCCGAAAAGGCTGCGATGTAGCGTTCGGCCCTTATTCCCAATCGAACATGGCTGAACAAGCGGTCACGTGCTCATGCGTACACCACTCACCTGGTCACCAGGCTGCAGGCTACAACTTACAGCATGTTTGGGCACGTTTCTGTCACTCGAGGTTGGTTGGTTGGTTGGTTTAGTTTTAATATAGGCCGCAACCACACTACGTAAAAATCACAGTACAAATTTTCATGCATATCTCGGTACAAGTCGGTACGCAAACACACTACACTGTCTTTGTGGTCCACTTCACAACAATAACACACACAGAAGTCCCTGCTGTGAGCACGGTGGCTCGGCAATGGCTGTGAGCACGGTGGCTCGGCAATGGCTTTATTATTGATATTATTATATCTCCTTCCTGATATAATTATATATATATATATTTTCAGAGTCGGCGTGGAGAAAGCAATTTTATTAGTGCAATTAGGAGTATAATCGATGCAGACATGGCCAGACAACAACGAGTTCATGGAATTTTTAAGGATTTTTATGTTATTCAAAATCGATTTTCGTGTTCCGCTCATCAGTGAATAGTATCGGAACTGAGGGTACTGTGTACAACAATAGAACATTTTATAACAGCATAATTAATTAAAAGTGTGAACAACAAAGGAAGTGCTACAGCATTACATAATAGGTGTCAAACATAGTGCTAACGTATATAACTGAGTGCAGCCTCAAAGCATGAGGTGATACAGTGCAACATGACACAACATTTACATCTGATAACCAGCTACGAGAACAACTTTAGCGCGACTACATGCTTCTTTTGTTTACAAAGAACAGGACTATGCACACGAATACATACAGCTTCCAGAACCTTCAACTGCTTAACATAACTTGCACGGCACAAAACAGAAAAGTGAGAATCATCGTACACACCAAGACAATCTGGACGTGATAACAAGTGACAAAATACAGCTGACTTTTTGCTCACGTCGCTCTCTTCCGTCTCATCCCGCTCCCCTCCTTCGACCTCCTCC